ATTGTCAACGATAGGAACTTGTTGTATTGGTCTAATTCTTCGGTTTTTGAAGCGGTCTATTAGTTGATTTGGGCCTGTGTTGAATTTTAATATATGAACTAATTCTTTTGCGATAAGTACTTCCAGAAAAAAACATAAAGAAAAAATGAAAGAAAATAATCACATTGTTGCCATACGGCTAGGGATTTGCAGTGTCGGTGTGAATACTGAAAAGCTGATCACCGACTAGACCGATAGTGTACACTGTGAAACACCAGCTCCACCGACAGTGTGCTCAGTGCTCCGCTGCGGAACAGTGTCGGTGTAATCGGTGCTCCACTGGACACACCGTCGGTGCAAGCCGGTGGTCAGTACACCGACATTGCACATCCCTACATACGGCCAATAGATAACGCACAGCTATAATATTAGGAGTTTTTGCTGATGGACTCAACGCAGTCATACTATAAACTACACCAAATGGAACAGTAAGTACAAGATGAACATTCATTTGTAGACGCAACATTTGAGTTAATTACTTTTCAGTTTGACGACCACATATAGTAGTTGATTGACTACCTGTACGAGCGATAGACTTCCGAGTATTACATATAGCTAGTAAACCGAATATAATAATTTAGTATAGGTGCTGAAATATAATAAAGAAGAATTTGAATGGAAATTAAAATGTTGATCAATAGATTTGAACATTGAAGACATATATCCAATGTTTATTCCCAGTGATAGATAGCCAGTATTGGTAACATATAGATAATACCTATTATTGTACTTGTGACAATAACAAAATCGTGCTTTTTGGTATTGCACTCATTGAGCGAAGTCGATATAGATGAGAACTTGAACAATAGCAATCGTATGAAGTTAATACAAGCATTGCTCGTGCTAACACACTGTAAAAAATTGGTGTTCTACCAAACTTTGAAGATTTGGTACTATTTTACGAAACGATTTTAAGTTCCGTGGCATCAAAATAGCTTCGGAACTTTCAGACAGAACCTTTTTAAGTTCCGAAAGTTGGAAAGGGTTTTGAATTTTTACTACGAAACCATCTGGAAGTTTCGTTGAGCGTGAACCGAACTTTTTGTAGTTTCGTATTCGTCGTACAAAACCATTGGGAGTTCTGAACAGCGTTTAAAAGTTCCGCATAAGTTCTTCAAAACCATTCAGGGTTGCGTAAGTCCACTAAAGGTTCTGCACACATTCTACGAAACTATTTCCGGTTCCGTCAAAGAAATGCTGAACCTTTATATCATTTATGAAGCAGTGAATAGTTTCGTACGATCTACGCTGAACTGGTTTATGTTTTACGAAACTAATGAGAGTTTCGTTTAACAAGTAAAGGTTCCGTGTAGCTTATACGAATCCATGGAAAGTTTCGCGAAGCATCCAAAGGTTCAGCATGCCTTACCCAAGTCGACTGATCAGACATCCGATCCGATAGGAACCTGGAAATATCCTACAGTCCGATACAATTCTATTGGATTCCGGGTCGAGGAATCGATGTCGGGTCCTCAGTGTCGGAATCCTATGAACTTCCGATGACATACAACGGTTTTTCCTTGGAATTCATAGGAATCCGACGCTGAAGATCCGACATCGATTCCTCGACCCGGAATCGAACGATCATTCTGTAACATCTGACAGGATCCCATAAAATCCTATTGGATTCCAGTCGAATCGGATGAGTTCCGACAGATGCCTACTGTCGGATTGTTCGACCTGGGTATACATGAAACCATTCACACTTTCGTAAATGATATAATAGTTCAGTATATCTTTTGCAAAACCATGGCTAGCTTCGTGGAATATATTCGGAACGATTACAGCCCTAAAACAACTATGAATGATTTCGTAGGGCATATCCGGAACTTTTAGATATTCTATGAAACTGGTAAAACTTTCGCAGTATGTCTGCTGAGCCTTCAGATAACTGCACGAAACCGTTAATGGTTCCGGAAAAGATATACAAAACCATTTTGTGCCTTTCGAAGTAATTAGTAGGTTCGTGAAGTACATCCAAAACCTTTGCAAACATTATAGAGGCATACATGGTTTCCTAAAGAGATGCCGAGCCATAATAGAGTTCATCAAACTACCAATGGTTTCGTAACAGATATACGGAACCATCAATGGTATTATATAATTCCAAAAAAACCTATATCTAGCTTTCGAAACTATCTACAGTTTTGTAGTATGTATACCAAACCTTGAAATAAGTGGCAAAACTCCTAATGGTTTCGTACACTGTATACGAAGCCATAATATAGTTCGTGAAACCATCAATAGAGCCGTAGAAAGCATACGAAACCATTCATTGTTCTAGCCAAGATACTGGACCTTTTAGCGTTTCCCTCAATCACTAATAAACAATCGAGGGTTCAAGTTAGTTTACCGAACCATCTCAGATCCTCAAAATTTGCGGATGTTTCAAAACGGTCTGTCCTGCACCATTTTTCCAAAGATGGTTCTGGCTTGAAGCAAGACTATATTTTCGGAACGTGATTTAAGCATTGTAAATCTAAAATAGAATTTCTTGTTTTGTTTTCAACGTTTAACTTACCATTTGAAACATGGATTCAATACATAATATTGTCATGAGTCGTATCATAATATCCTTCTTTTTCATATATCATCCGATAATTTGCGAATAAAAAGTTTTTGTAATTGACAGATAAACAAATCGCAAAGCAAACTGTCCAAAGGGACAGCTTCTTTCATATAATAACGAGAGACTTGTCATGTTGATATGCAGAAAATTACTCAGGAATGTATGTAGCAAGTATTAAGAAAAGGCAGGTTACTACTATAAAATTGAAATATTGATATTTGATGGTTTTCTTTTGACAGTGAATCTAATTCCTAACAAAAGACAATGACACCCTCAAGAAGTCACGCAAAACAATGTATAGTTTGACATGTCTATTAAGCGCTGGTTTCTGTTCAACATCAAATAATTTCTGTGCTGAAAACATGCAAAAACATTACATAAATATCGTCATTTCTAGACAAAAGACACAAAAATACACATGTATATACAACGGTTTTCTTGGTTTTTTCCTTTTCTATAAACTATTTCAAATAACGAATAAAAGATTTATTTATATAAAAATAAATTGATTTTCTCTTCTTTTTATAATTTGTTTGAATAATCATTATTATGAAGACTTCTCTGAAGCCTATGAAAAACAACATATATTTTCTGATATTTACTCTTTTTTTTGCATAAAGATTAATCCTCAAATAAAAAAAACAAAGATTTTCTTTTCTTGTTGAAAATGTTTTGTTTCTTTTTCAAATTATACCAGAGATGGAAAAGTCAGCGTTTTTTCGACTCAAGTCAAGTCAAGTCAAGTCAAGTTGAGTCATAATTCATTCAAAAGATCACCAGATGAAGTCATTTTTTGACTTGACTTGCCCATCTCTGAACTATACGATGGTCATATAAAGGGATTTTCTTCTATGACTATTTGCTAAATATATAAGAAACAACAAAAAGCTTCGGCAATTGAATGTATAATTAAGGGATGAAAAAGCATCGACTGATAAACCTTACATAAATAACAAATCAGTACAAAGGCGAAAAAATAATGAAGCGAAACAACAGTCAATTAGTGTATGATGATTTTTAACATAAATTGTGTATTAAGAGCATCACGTTAAACAAATCTCTTATATTTAAAAAAAAAGGAGATTTTCTATTCAACATCAAAGCAATCGATGAACTTCTTAAACCCGTTGTATTACGAAAGAGAAATGATTCCGAATAGTATGTGCATTCTCGAGCATCATGATCTTCAACGATATTTTTTCGTCAAAACACTTGTTATTTCACTGAAATTCGTTGCGAAAAACGCGACTGAACGTTTACTGACTATTATATGAATATAAAACCGTATCGGACAGAAACGACTAAAGTAACATAAGCTAAACCCTTTGGCGATGCCACTGATGATATGATTCTCGCAACTAAACAAATATGTAAATAAAAAACTGATTCAATGTGCAAATGAAAGTGGTTTGAAAATACACTCTAGGATTTCAAAGTGCCAGTGAAACTGTAACATGCAATTTAGACGACGTTTCGATAACAGAACATCGAAGTCACACAGAAGTAAACTCCCAAGTTTGGAGGTTTCGCTCTTGATAAAATCTGGTGAAGATCTTATCATGTACATTCATCAAGATGTTTTTGATGAACAACTTGTATATTTTTATTTTATTTATGTTGTGCCGAGAGATATTCTTATCAACATATTTCGCTATTCTTTTACTAACTCTTTTTTCTTATAAAATCAAAGCAAATTTACTTTGTATTATACATCATGAAAAATGGTATATCAACAAGAATGTTGATTTGATCTAAACATTTTCCTTTTCTTGAAGATTGATTTAAAAAGACCTAGTTCTATAAGCAATTGTACTAATATCTTAATTATAATTCGTTAATGCTCTTGCTTGTTTATTTAATCAAAATCGAAAATTTTTAAAGAACATTTTATTTGATTTCATTAATAGATTTCCTTGCGTGTATCGTTTGGTTGATAGTTTAATGACAAAAAGGTCAATAAAAAAAAGGAGAAAAGTTGAGCGACAAGTAGCACTTCGATCATCAACTAGAAAAATAAACAAAAGCGATAGGAATTTTGCTGATTTATTTTGAATACGTATTCGTTTTTTTTTATTCTACAGGAGATAAAATTTTATTATTTAAACGAAAATCAATTAATTTATATACATTCACATTACATATTTTATCATCGTAGACAAAACAAGTTCATGTTATTTAAAAATCACTTGACTGATTGGAATAGTGAGAATTATGGTAAAACGATTAATCTCATTGAATTTTGTCTAGTCTTACGTCAGCTATGTTGATTTGACAATGATCTTATTCTCGTTCAGAGCAGTTTCATGAATTCCTCAAAATACAAACGAACAGAATTAGAACAAAAAATTATTTACAATGAGGCACAGATGAACAATTGAACAGTGTCTTGGATTCAAGTCAAAAAACGATCTATACTTTTATATGTTTCCAATGATGAAAAATAAAGAAAGAAGTTTTTCGAATATACTATTGCTGGTATTGTTGCATCAAAAGTAATATATTTTAATTTTTCACACTTGCAATGAGCTGCTACCTTTGTGAAATTATTTGTTACCGTCATCAGTTTATCATAATTAACATGTAATTTGTTAAGATGAGGTAAACGCATATTTGAGTCAAGAAGAAATTGTTTGATGTAGTCAATGTCCGCAAAAAAGAAACTGAGTTCCACAAGATTTGAGTATATACTAATTAATGATGTTTTATCAGGTTCATCGGGTTGTTGTATGAACTTCTTTTGTTGTGGATGTAAATTGGATATTTCCAAGCTAGTGAGCAATGAAAAGGACACCGAGATTCGAGTAAAAAAATAATGTTCGAATGGACGACGAACATTCATGAACAGACCACCAGGAAAATTGTTAGTAACGCTATGCATACGCTCCATATTGAAGGGAAGCGAATAACTATGGCATCGACCTCGTTCAGTTTTTATCATAATCAATATAGCAATCCATATCATACCCGTTTTCAACGAATGTACGCCGAATATTGTCACATAACGGTACTAGTTCTTTCTTCATCTGAACGTATTCAGTAACGATATAAAAAAAGAATGATTGTAAATGTGGCATGTTCTTTAATACATCATTATACAATTGAGTACCATCAATAAATGATGCTCGATGTGTAACGCAAAGCGATAATGTGAGTTTCTCCAATTGTGACATTTGTTGAAGAAGTGGTACGATTCGATTATCATATTTAGTTGTTTCATTAAGTGAAAACAATGAAAAACATTTCAAATTTGACACGATTTTCTACAAAAAAAAAATTAATAAGCATAAATAAGTCATATCGAATTAGTTATTCATTTAGAAATTTATCTAATTACATAATTAAATGTACTCATAGTTTTCCCGTCGTCTTCTAATCATAGAGTACTGAAATACTTCTGGAGCTAATATATCAAAGCACGTCTTCATCGGATATGATTTTACCTAAAATGCTTTTATCCTAGCACAGAAAAGCTTGTTCGTGCATCCCCCTTGAGGCTAAAATGTGAAACTCACATATCTATACCTTCATTATACTAATAATGAAATAGATAAAGTGAAAAATCTCCAACACATGATCGTTACTGTCCAAAAATCATCAATGGTCAGAAGATCATTTCTCTTATTTAATTTCTCAATTTTTCTAGCAATCGAATTCTTATATTTGTCTTCTTGTTATTCTATTGTCGTTGAGGTCATTTATTTTTATTTTGTTTCTCTTAATTTCCTGTTATCTTTGTTCCTATTCTTCTAACAAATGATTCAATTAACAAATGTCCGACACGTGTACGACGAGGGAGGAGGGAGATAAAGAGAGACGCTGCTAAGATGACGGTTAGGTATGTGACGGCGAATGTGTTGCTAGGTTTTCTGTGGGAGTAGGGAAAAGCCGGAAAACTGCGACTTAAAACGTACACACTCTATTTTCCTTCATAAAACAATGCGAGTTCTACAAAAGAAAAATTAGCAACACACAAGAACAAAAACGACCACGGAAAGGCCTTTCTTTGTCGAATATAACTAATAGTTGAGAAAGAAATAGCAACATTCTACGGCTGTCGTTGAGTCAGATCTTTTAGTTTTTGCATGAAATCGGTGTTTCGACAATACTTAGTTAACTACGAGTATGAATTGAACTATTTCGCTCATCGGAGGCAAACAAGATGGACATTACATACTACTATTTAAAAGTTATGTAATATATTGTATCGTCTTCTATGACATCTGCTATAGGCAACTGCTTTTAGATACACACCGTCATGATTAGATCTCCCATATCGATACTATTCTATCAGAAATCAATCATAAGATACTCAATTTTTTTATCGTTCTCTTAGAAATCGAATTAAATTTGTTGGCCATAATTGGAAATATTTTACCTTATTGTTTATAGTTTTTGACGAATTCTTGATAATTCCAACTTTCACAATAACTGTATGTAAACAAGTGAAACGTCCATCAAGTAGACAAAGACAGTCGTTAAAATGTCGTACCGTAACATTCAAATAACCAATACTTGATGAATAAAACGTTGTAGATGATAAATTCCTAAGTGATAATGGCGAAAATCCAAAATTATCTTTGAATCCGTATTCGAAATGATTTAGATTGGTGAATATAGTAAAGATGCTAGCAAAAGCATTTGTAGATACACGTTTTTTTTTGTGAAAATTTAATCTCATTAAACTTCATGACAAGATGCAAAACTTGATGTTTGAACATGTGAATAAATGATGACTCGTCTAAATAAATATCCAATAAACAAATATATCGATTTAGTTTCCTGATTTAAAGATCAAGAGAATACACAACATACCATTGAAAATATCACGTGCCGTTTTAAGTGAAAGATTAACAAGCGTAAGTTTCCATAGTTTAAGATAATTTCCAATGCGAAGAACACGATCAATTGATAATCGATCAAGAGTCAGTGATTCAATATTGTGTTGAATTCGAGGTATTATATCAACACAGAATCGATCCAGTGTTGAATTTCTTCTTGACTTACTCTTTTTATTTGATAATATTGTCACGAAATCAATAGATCGTGTAAAAGTAATATCTCGAGCTAATCGATCGAGTTTTTTTATTAACACCTATGAGTGAATATAATACATCAACATTATTAAGTTTCATCAAAATGGTATGTAACATCTCGTCGCTTAAGGCAACGATGCTAACTGTTGAATGGTTCATGTTTAATGAGAAAACATAAATCGAAATGTACATATATATACTATATAGGCATATCTGTTCATTCAATAGCACATCTGACGTCGTCAACGACAACAATGTTAAACAAAGCGACAATGAAGAATAAACAACAACTGATTAGTTTATTTAATCCTGTTATTCCTTCGACTGCAGGGAGCGTCATGTGAAAAACTAAATGTGTGTGTGTGTGTTCATTTGCAATCACGTGCACAAGTATATATACATGAGCAATTTTTCATTAAGTTTGTTAGTCTGTGATGTGAAAATCTGTTGGAGTAATCTCACGTTGTGAGTTTAGCAAATCGAACGTTTTTGCAGTCCAACTCTAAGTCAGTGAAGCATTATTCGGTTAGAAATCGATGTGATGTGTTGCTATGTTCCTCTAGCTGTTATGATTAGGATGAGTTGATACAGAAGTAGAAAATTTTGTTTATTGTAAATGCGTACTGTCACATTTTTTAGAAGGAGTGCACTTGGCGGCACTACCTCTCAAATTCTGTGACATCATCTGAATTCTAAATTGAGGTATCTAGGTGTGAATGCCGAAATAGATAAAGGTGAGAAAAAAGATCACGCTTACAATTGCGTTCATGAAAAACTGTATCTACGACTGTACCACGATTCGTGGCACAATGGGTGTGGGTGTGCTTGTACAAGAAGACAACATGTACCCGTATCCATGCTCACACACCCGAAATAAATGAAATATTTCTAATAATTATCAAAGTGAGAATTTATTGTCGAGTGACAATCAACAATTTCAATATTTGAAAGTTTGTTCATTTTCCGAAATATTTTCTGAATTTGTTTTCCTAGAAGAATTCTTTAAAGACTATTGTTTTTACGTTAGTGAAACATATGTCTGTGATTGATATTGATTTGAAAAGTTTAGTTTAACTAATAATTAATGTAGGTGTGCACTATTGAACACAGAATCAAAATAGAAAGCCTATTTTCAATGAGATCAATAAGAGAGAAACTTGGAAAAAAAATGAAAAATCAATTCGAGTATAGTTTAATGTCATCAAACAATGTTTTTTAAAGTATTGAAATAGTAGTTTCATTTAGATTTGCCCAAATATCTTTTTCAATTATTGGATAAAATCAATAACTTATTACTTTTCAATAAAAGTTTGATCATATTTGTCCTTTCATTAAATGAAACAATTCTTAACTCTTTCCTAAGTTATTCAATACAATATTCATTCTTAATTAATCATTAGAAAGCTGCTGATATTTGATGAAATAAATAATTAGAATTGTTCTCATAAAAACTCTCGATTGAACAGAAGAAATATTTGAGAATAGAAATAAAAATATTTATTTTAGTTTTATAGTTCTAATTATGTATTAATATACATAGGCTCAACGATTCTTTTTTAATATCCCAAGTTAAAAGTAATATATTCAAAGAATTTTTTCAAAAGAGCCAAATGATCTTTAGTTAAATCGAGTTTCTTGGTATCGATACGATCTGTTGATATTTTAAAATTTTCTGAAGAATAAATTCGATTTGATGAATGAGAATTGTTCCATTGAAAATTTGTTAGATTTACAATTATTGAAAATAGCTTTCTTTAAAATATTATTTTCTAAAATAAAAATACAACAAATTTTTCTTCTTTTAGATTTCGAGCTCTCGAATAAATATAATCCATTTATTAATAATCAATATGAAATAGATATTAATTGTTATATTTAGATCACGAATTACAAATGAAAATTAGCTTTTGTCATTCAAATTAATTCGTTATTCGAATTGATAAATAAAAAAAAGACTTCGTTAATATAAATCTAAAGCGCTTTGGAAAATTATTTTAAAATCTAGCTGAATTTTGTTCATCCTCTTTTTATATGTCCAATTTTCTAACATGAATCATTTTTAGAACTCTTTGCCTTTAGGAAAAAAAAATTAACTGATTAGATAAATCTTTTTTATTCTAATCTATTTATAGAAAGAAAATCATTTGGTTGAATATCGAAGGAAGAAAATAATACATGCCTAATACGAAATTTGACTCATACAACCAGATTTTGCACTGTATGAGAAATGAAAGTTTTTTTAAATTTATTATTAGTTTTATGGTAGAGACAAGGATATATCAATGAGAGAATAAAACATGAATAAAGATACAGATTCATTTTTCGATTAAATATAAATCTTTGTTTATAAGATAAGATTCTCCATTAATAAATATATTTAATCGAAAAAATGTCTAGTTTACAGAGTATTCATCTGAAAATTATCGAAGACTGAAGCGAAAATCACTTGTAAGTTTTTTTAGTTTTTATAAAATGTTTATTAACTGATTAAAACGTGATGTTTTTCAAGAAAAGTTTTTAAAATAATATTTATTGAAACAAGTGAAACGTAAAAAAAGATTTGAAAAAATTTGTCAAAAACGAGATTTTTCTCTTTATGTATAATGATAATCATTTGTATACTTTTCTTTCCTCTTTCGTTTGTTTTTCAGTTACACTTCATAATGAAAATAATATAATAAGCCTGTATAGAAATCATAATCGAAGATTTATTATGAGTCTCCTACGAACGATATTTAAACAATAATGTAAGACACAGTGTAGGTCGATTTCCATAGAGGGATTTAGTCTTGACGTTAAGAAGGGTATCCAGTCTGATAGTGTAATAGAATATTGTTTTTACTTAAACATTAATATATATTTTATGACATCACGTGGATCCTAATGGGAAAATAATAAAATCCACTTGAATTGTGTAGGAATTAAACAATTTACAACTTATCAAATATTGTAACAACAGGTTTGCCTTTAACTCACTCACGTTGTTGAGAATTATTATTCTATCCACAATATTCTATTGTGGAGCCACGTAAGAAACTTTTCGGAGTACCTTGGATATCTGTATAGCGATTCTAATGGATCATGAAAGCTTAGACTAGCATCGCATCAATCTACGCCGTCTCATTAACTTCAAACAAAAAATTAATACGATCAGTTCGCCAAGATTTTTTATAGCTACGAATATATATTAAATAGAGTATTTGAGACTCGGTGATAATGCAATTGATCAAGATGTCATTGTTATTAGCTAGATCTTGACAATAATGAGTTCTAATTCATTTTGTTTTGGAATATTTTTAACTTATCAGTTAATCGAATAGGTGTGATAAAAAAAATGGCCAATGAGCATTTTAGTATTGTACCAATCAATTCTTTGCTCTCGAATTTCAGTCTTTGGTTGTAAAGATGCGCAACTTAATGCTCTAACAGACTACACAATACTGGGTTTGACAAAGAATCGAGTAGGCTCTTATTCGCGATGTATAGTGAAGTCTAGTTCAGTCAAGTATTATGACATGAACACAACCATACATTGAAAGCTGAGTCTACGATATATAGGACTTTTCAAGATCTACAAAATATCTGTATCATGATTTCCATGATTGAAAGCGTTTCAACAAATAAACTTAAGCTGGCTGCTATTGATGTTAAAAATTTGAACTTTGCGGCATTATAGAACAACTTTCAATGTATTCTGAGAGACCATTCAATGGCGCGCTTTGGAAAAACAAAGTGCAGAGACTTTACCGAAATATATTGATTCTGAGCTCGATTTGAGAATGAAATCATTCGTCAACATCGGCTGAATGATAAATAATAGAGAAAGAAAAAATGTTTAAATACTCTTGAGGTCATTCATGATACTTCGGAAATCCGTGATATTAATGAGTGAGTAATCTTAATTCTTATTTCTTACACACGAGTTACAACTCGCGAGTTGAATCCAAAGGTTTACGCATTTTTTGGAATTATTATGCCTTTCGACTCACATACAGTTTATGGTAACGTTTTTAAATTAAATCTTTAAAAAAGCGCACGGTCAAAAATTTCATCACTATTTTTCTTTCAAAATTTTCTATACGAAATTTTCGATTAATTAACTTCAAGTTATATTTTAATAATTGTTCAAAATCCAATGCTTCATAAAGTTATTTCAGTGAAAAAAAAAAGGATTTTTTATATTTATCTTTTCCAGAAAAATAAACAGTAGTAGTAGTAGACTGTACAGAAAAAATATACAAATTTAGAAAGGATTCAGTCAAATAAATATATTTATGTTTTAGTAATAAATTTTCACAATTATTACTCTCGTATCACTTGATCACGATAAAGACTCAGGTGAGAATCGATTTGAACTTAATTTATCACGATAGAGATAATTGAATTCATAACTTGAATATCGTTCAGATCTATCACCAGCTAAACTTGGAATGAGATTCACGTCAGATTGATTTTTAGGTACCGTTTGTGTTTGTTGAGTTACAGATGCAATAGGAATCGGAACAGAACTTGTTTTAATGAATTCAAAAAGAACTAAAAAAAGTCATAATTAAAGTTTAATACAAAAACCATTCTTGATTTACTTTTCTTTTGTTCATGGTCATCATCATCATCATTTCGATTTCGACGTGGAGCTGTTGCTATAGCTTGCGCTCGTCTATGTGGTCCCATCATATTAAAACGTAAATCGACAACATTTCTGCTAATGCCATCGTGAAAAAAAGCAATGGGCGATAGAATACGCGATGAGCCTGTGGTTGAATTACGACGACCTAGAAAATATAATATATTTTATACAAAGCAAATCAATATATTTTCAACTTACTATCGTTAGTGGGAAGACATGAACGTTGTAACGACGAATTCTTATTGAACTAGTGAAATACAAATACCTAATAATAACTAAATATAAATTGTTATTTACCATTAGTTAGCTGTTGGATCAGGAAACTAAAGAATAATGCACTGCTGACTGTTAAATGTCGCATATATATATATATATATATATATATATACATACATATAACTAATTTAATATTAAAAGAAGCGTATCTAGACTGCTCTCTCTTTTTTTCACTAATTTCAATGAACTGTCTGCATTATGTGCTTAGTCGAGCAACGGTAGAATACGTCAGCGGCTTGTCGAACATGTCTTTATACGTGTTCATAGACATATGCAATTTTTTTTGCTATTTTCTACGCTTAAATGTCATCGGAACACAGACCATAATTAATTAACAAAGCATTAGTTTTTTTTTGAATTTTTACAAAAATTTGGAACTCAAATGAAATCGTATAGCTCTTAAATCAAGAGTTATCAGCATTGAATTTCATTTTATATTATTGTAAATACAAATTTGAAGGTCAATTAAATTAAGCATGACGATATTTGAGTAAGATTGTACTTCTTATTATTAACTTTTGGAAGTTCCTTATTAGAACTAAAAATAACGGACATCGATCTTTTTGAAAGTTTAACAAAGCATGATATCTAATTAAATAGAACAAACCAGACTTCTTTTAAAATCGTTCAAGACGCCCTGTGTGAAAAAAATTCTCTTTGATATCAGAGTTACAGACATTGTACTCATATCAGAGAGAAAAGATTTCTTTGATTTTTTTCTTTATAGTCTAGTAGATGCGTTCACTGTTGACAATAGAAGTTAATCTATTTTCATGCTTGGTCAGTCTAACATTTGAAAAGATAAACTATTTGAAAATATTAATATATGCATGAACTATTTTTTAGGCACCCATAAATATATCTACGTACTTACTTTCAACAAAGAGACAGTTGATTTTATTGCGCAGTTTTAATTAGGATTTAATGATGAACGCCATTGAGACTTTTCCTTATGGCAAAATAAGGTGCAGACAATTCGAAATTTGAGTAAGACTTTATTTCAGCATGGCTGAATAGAGCTCGTTGACTTACCCCTAAGTATGTAATTTAAAATTTTTCCAGGCTGAATTTTCTGTCAAAAACAATTTGAAAAACTTTTATATCAAAACAAGGTGTTTTTCCGGCGATTGATGATGCACTGGTATTTAATCAGATTTAAAACAGCTGTTGACTTTTGAAAATGTTTTCTTTTCGAAGCAGCTGACCGTGATGAATTACAGAAAAAGAAGTTAGAACCGATTGACAAAATGAATTTGTTGGACAGAGCCGTCTATCATGAAAATGTTTGATATACTCGACAGAAGCACGTTACAAATACATCAACCCTCCACAGATGCATCTTTCAATGGTTTATTTTATTTCATTGCAACCAGCATACGTATACAAAAAGACTATGTATGGGTTTTGGACCGCGTTGTTTCTTCGCTGAGAAATGGCAAATTTTCTCGTATCTGAGTTATTCCATATGAGCCACGATCACCTATTGTAGAATTAGCTAAATGAAATATTATAAGATACTGTCCTAATTATAATATTCTTGTAGAGAGAAGCGATATGAACAAGTTTGATACACACCTTTCGAAAAAATATTCATTCGTTCTCGAGCTATTAATCTGTTCTCTATGGGAGTTATATTTTGTTNGTTTTTCAAATTGTTTTTGACAGAAAATTCAGCCTGGAAAAATTTTAAATTACATACTTAGGGGTAAGTCAACGAGCTCTATTCAGCCATGCTGAAATAAAGTCTTACTCAAATTTCGAATTGCCTGCACCTTACATGACATCACATTACAATACAATGCTCATATATAAGCTGATCAGTGTTTTAAACTGAAACAACCTTATATTTTATTGCTTCTAGCTCTCATTCATCGAGGGACGTCAAATTAGCTCAGACTACACTACTCTAAAACAAACGTTAAACTTGATCAAGTAAACACCGAGTGCTAAGCCTATTCAATAGAACATGATCCATAACGAGGTCTGTTTTTTTTAGAGCAAAGTATTGTTTTACTAAAAAGAACAATTGGGCACATTTGAACTTTAGGTAAAGCTCATATTATTTTCTAGTAAAATAAAAAGACCAGCTACTTTCATAGGAACTAAATAGAAACCAGCAGCGTTCACTCTTTAAAAGAGAAAATGAAAACCTAGAATACAAGAGACTTTTCTTGAAAAATCTGTTATAAATTTCATCAAAATGTAAGACACTTGGTAGGAACTGAAAATTTCAACACTGAACTTATATTATTTAACACTTATAAAATATTCACCCTATATAACAGCAAATTTCTTTTCATGTTGATGTTCTAATCAAACATTATATACAGCGAATTCTTGTATTTCATACGAGTAGTATAATTTGTTTCAACTATCATCTTAATATTTAAAAGCAAATCAATTTTGCCTCTGAGCGACGTCTATCATTGACTAAACAAAACAACAAGATACTTGTTTATCTAGTTCAAAAATAAATATTTCTAGTTTTTGTTCAATTCATGCTCGAACTAACAATTTTGACTCATATATTCATTACCGAGGCAAAGAGTTTCTCAATTAAAAAATGTTTTTTTTTACTTGACTCAGTTATATTCATTTTGAATAGTACTTGTGAAATACGACTTGCGCAATTACTTCCATGCTTCGTTCTGTCTTCATAAAAGCAACTGCACCATGGAATATATGCGCATTACTCGTTCTTACTTACCTAGAAAAAAGAACAAAACAATTTTATATATTAGCTATCAATCTAGTGATTCATGGCGGACAGCAACAGCACAACAACATTTATAGACCAATTAAATTCTCTTCGCTCAATTTTACGTTCCGATGATCATCTTCACATTCAACCATCGGGAGATTACGAACAAGTTCGCATCAAACTCGATCATGATATTCAATTAGGTTTTTTCTTTGATTCACTTGATTCTCTTAACAAATCCTTAACTGTCAATAATGTCACTGACTTACGAATGAATAAATCATCGAATAAATGTCCATTGAGTAATGCTGAATGGACAACTATTCGTAAATATTTTGATGAGCTTATTCGAAAATCGAACAAATCAACTTCAGTTGAATCAATTATTCAATCAATTCAAGATCACTTATTAAAATTGACCATAACAAGTCAAAAGTCGAAACAAACAGATAAAACGTTAGATGATGTTACACCAGCCGAAGATATGTCTTCGCCAGGAAATAAATTTCGTGGTACGATATCGATATTTAATCGAATCTTACACGATAAAACAATCGATCGATCACAAGTGATGCTTGGCTATGAAGATCGTTTTACCGGAATACATGAAATGCCATTTAATGAATTTAAAAGAGTGGAAAATCATGAGGTAATATGATTATGACTGAACGCGTAAATGAAATACTATATCAAATTCATTTCATTATTATTTTAGACAGGCGTTCCAATGCATCGTGTTCGATATTTTAAAATTAATGGAAATATTGTTTGGGATAGAACGAAAAAGATAGATTTACTAACGGGGAGTGATCAACCGAATGGAGCACCTATTGGTATGAGAATAAGTCTTTCGATTACTTTATATAGCAGCTCTTCTATAGTTCCCTGTATATTAAAATTGACAATTTCCGTTCTACCTAGATTCATGAAATTCACTTGATATAATAAATTCTATTTTTTTCGCTATTCACAGAAAATAATCCAAGCTCTAATCTTGCACAAGGATTATATCGTTTTGATCCTTCTCTTCAACAATGGGTGGAATGCCCACATATATCACTAGCATCCGATGACACTAAAATTCCATCAACAAAAGAAACGTGTCTACCTGAACGATGCCATTTTCTATCGTGGAATATTCTATCTGATAATTACCAAACAGAATCTATTCACACCTGTCAACGACATCATACATTGCTTTATACACTGAAAACACTTTTACCCGATGTTATTTGTTTACAAGACGTCACAGTTAGTTTTCTGAATCTTCTTCTAAATGAATTATGGCTACAAGAAAATAATTATTATATTGTTATTATGAAAAGTGTGATTAATAGTGAACAAAATAAATCCTGTGGACAAATGATATTGACAAAAAATTTTCGACCTCGATCATTGACAATGTGTCCACTTCATGTTTCCGGTGATGCTGAAACAACAAAAGAAATTATTATGGCTAGATTTGGTCTAAGTCCTAAAATAACAATTGATCTCGCTAATCTTCACTTGTTTAGTGATCATTGTGATAATGTAGAAGAAAAACGTTGTCAAACGTTAGAAAATATTTTTAACAAAATGAAAACAAATAACTACATGCTTATTGGAGATTTTAATTTTGGAGATTATAATTTGAAAGAACAAGATATTCTCGAAAAATATCAAGACGAAGTTCATGATCTCTGGAAAGATATTTATCATATTGATCAGGTAAGAGACTTGTACTTCATCGTCTTTATTTTCCCAAGATACATTACAGTTTTCGCTTTCATGTTAGAACTCTCACCTATATTTAGAATCCCGGTTATACATTTGATCCATCCAGTAATCTTTGTGCTCGCATCACATCTACTTCACAAATAAAGCTTCGCTCAGATCGATATTTAATGCGTACATTAGATACTCTTTCATATTCTATTGAACATCTGGCGATCATTGCGACTGAAACCATTCCTATCAATCCATTCGATGATGATGATTTTCAACGAATTCATCAATCTGATCATTATGCTTTACAATTAGTTATGAATTTTCGAACACGATCCATCAGTCATCGCTCGGCAGTTGCCATTTTACCAACACTGAATACATGGCCATTGATCGATCCTTATCGACAACAATATGATCCATCGTTCGATCGATGGCCTCCACATATTAATCTACTATGGCCATTTTTCGATTTAACCGATTGTGAAGAAGATCAAGAAAATATTCTTTTACAATTGCGGCTTCTCTTATGTCAATATGAATCCTTTTCTGCTGGAATCGATCAAATAGATTCATTCGTCGAAAATAAAACGATCTACATGAAATTAAATCAACAGTCCGAAAACCATGTGAAAAAATTACACGCGCAACTCATCAAACTCTTTCCGCAACTTTCGGGAAATCATAAAAATCGTTATAATCCAAGTATGACAATCGGATACTTTGATACTGACGAAAAATTTAAACAAGCGAAATCATCACTAAGTAAGTTACATACAAGAACATCATTGATTCACCTCTTATGTTACTTTTAGTTTTAAATGAATCATTTCAATTTCCTGTTCATTATATTTATATTCTACAACGATCACTTGACAATGATACAGAACCATTTCATATTGCTTATCAATTACCCTTAGGTTCTGTGCTCCCACCAATCAATTCTAAACAATTACACTCTGTAGATGAGAAATTACAGCAATTCTTTCAAACCATGAATCTCTATGAAAGTGAACAATCTTACCAAAGAAAACAAGAGAAATTCGAGAAACTTTCATCTTGTTTCGAACAAATATTCAACAATGACACATTACACTGCTTCACTCATTCATTTCTTCCCTATGGAAGTTTTCGTATTGTAAGCTACACGAGTTCTTGAAAATAAAACATCTGTATTATCGTTATTCTAGGGAATCAATGGACAAGATGTTGATACAGTATTTATTTTAAATGAAATTAAGTGTGATAACAATCAAGCGACTAGTTTTGATGAAGCACTTCGTGAATTGAAACATGATCCAACTGGATTAAATGATCATATTGTTGATTTATTGGAGACACAAATCAATGGAACTATGAAAAATGAAATTCTTCACTATCGAAAGATTCAAGCTCTATTTCCAATAATATCAATTGTATTTCATGATCAAACAAAAGTAGAAATATTTGTGCAGATAAAAATAATCAAAGAAAAATCGGCTAAATACGATTTGAACCTAGTTTCGAATTTTCATGAACCTATTACAGGGGTAAGAGTATTTTTATCGCGAGGAACAAATTATAATTTCCCACTGTTTCAGGTGCATGAAATTGAATACTTACTCGTTCATGTGCGTTCTCCACCTATCTTTCAGTATCTGCTAACATTCGTTCGAACGTGGGCACAACGTGTCGGCCTCTATGGTCGTGTCTATGGTTATTTAGGTGGTTACTCATGGGCTATTTTATGTGCCTATATTTGCCATAAATTTCTGGCACCGATAAAATCTCTTTCATCAATTGAACAATTCTCTATTGAGGAATTCTTTTCATTAGTACAACAATTTTTTTCAACATTCGCACATTTCAATTGGTTAGGAGACACTGTTCGTCTCTATCCGAAAACATATAAACAGAAGTCGCTGTCTGATAAATCACTCGCATATCATCGAGGTTCTATGCGTATTATATCACCAAGTGCACCATTTAACAATACAGGACGATCAACCAGTAACTCTACTCGTGATCTAATTAGTGAAGGTTTTGAACGTGTTCTACAATTAATCGATACAATCAATACGATCACTCTAGATGATAAATCAAATGCACTGAGACAAATTCTCGAGTTAACTAACCATTTTCCTAATGAAAAAATGAAATCAATTCTTCAATTAACACTTTCAAGCGACAGTACTGATGAACTGCATGCTTGGACTGGTTGGATGCAATCACGCTTAGCTCACTTCCTAAATGATTGTGAAGAAGAATGTCATTTATCTATTCAAACACAAAGTTCAATTGAATATCGATCAAAGAATACGGAAGCGTTTTATTCAATTGGTTTTCAAGTTGATCCACAATCATTGAATCAGCATCGATATTTTTCATATTGGCTAAAACAATTTCTTGATCAATTCAATCTATTCCCACAGCGAACAGAATCAATGAAAGTTTCACATAAAATTATTTGCATACATGATTGGAAACTTGAACGAATGCAACCGAAACCACAAAGAATAAGAAAATAATTAGAAATGTTTTTTATCATTGTTATTTTTTTGTAAAAAAATAATTCGATCTTTATTATGTAATAAATGCTTCTATTACATATGACTTATGCGCATTGGCATTGAAAAAAATAATCATTTGATGAAGCATTCATTATATCCAATCAAAGAGTGTGCACATCCATATCCTTGGTTAAGATAAGCTACATTCACACGCTACATACAATAGTGTATGTAGCTTATCATATGCAATTAGAACCAATAGAATCACTGTCCAATGTTTACTCTGATCCATCCAATAATTGTTTGACGTAAAATAGCTGTTGTATGCTAATATAATGTGATTTGTGCGAAACAAATTAGAAGTACTTTTTTTAAGGATTCTTCTATACTATATTAAGTGTAATGCTAATGCTTAACTAATTAAAAATATTGTACGTATGTACATATTCTTGCTTCGAGCGCCCTCTTTTTCATCTTAGAGGCTCAATGTCTTTCTATTGCAATGGAAAACAAGTGTATGTACGTCAAAGTGTATGTAGATTATCTTAACCCATATCCTTAGTATTTCTTTTAGCACGTGCGATTTAGAATTGATACGCCACTAGCGCAAGACTGTGCAAATGAAATATTGTCCAAGCTAAATTTAGATATAGAAACGTACAAAAGTGCCTAACTATATACTCAAACATTAGTCACGAGACCGAGTCTTCATGATACTACTATAGGGCTGAATTCGTATTCGAGCGACGTCTATCATAAAATTAAACATAACAACACGTGATGGTAAAAATGATTCTTGTAAATATTGAAATAATAATAGAAGTAAATGAGGTAATTTCTGCATAACTCGTTATGGCTTCAATCTATGCTTCATATTGCTTGACTCAGTTATATTCATTTTATACTGCTATTGTGCAATACGACTTGTGCAATTACTTGCATGCTTCGTATTCTATGTTATAAAAAGAAGCATGGAACAAAAAAAAACGTTATTCGTTCTTACCTTGAAAAAGAACAAAACAATTCTATATATTAGCTATCAATCTAGTGATTCATGGCGGACAGCAACAGCACAACAACATTTATAGATCAATTGAATTCTCTTCGCTCAATTTTACGTTCCGATGATCATCTTCAAATTCAACAATCTGGAGATTACGAACAAATTCATATCAAACTCGATTACGATATTCAACTAGGTTTTTTTTTAAATTCACTTGATTCTTCTAACAAATCCTTAACTGTCAATAATGTCACTGACTTACGAATGAATAAATCATCAAATAAATGTTCATTGAGTAACGATGAATGGATCACTATTCGTAAATATTTCGATGAACTTATCCAACAATCAAATGAATTCACCTCACTTCAATCTTTTATTGAATCAATTCAAAATCATCTCACAAAAATGAGAACGAACACAAAGAAATCGAAACAAAAAGCAAAAAAAACAATAGAAGTGGAAACAACCGACGATACATCTACTGCCAGTAATAAATTTCGTGATGCAATATCGATATTTAATCGAATCTCACATGATAAAACAATCGATCGGTCACAAGTAATGATCGGCTATGAAGATCGTTTTACAGGAATTCATGAAGTTCCATTCAGTGACTTTAAAAAAGTTCATGAACACCGGGTAACAGGATTGAACTAAAATAAGTAACATGCATAATGATCATTCCTTTAGTATGGCGTTCCAATGCATCGCATTCGACATTATAAAATCAATGGAAATATTGTTTGGGATAGAACGGCAAAATTAGACATTTTAACGGGTAGTGATCAATTACCTGAAACAGCTAATGGTATGAAAGATAATCTTTGAAAGACTTGTAAAGACTTTAACGGCTGTGTAGATTTTATTCTTGAGAATCAGCAAATCTTCATTATATCGCCATGTAAATGCTTTTCTTCTATGCCATAGATAATGCAGAAATATCCACTCTTGCACAAGGACTCTACCATTTTGATCATTCTCTTCAGCAATGGAGCGAAGTTCAAAATGTACCATTAACATCCGATGACACGAAAACTCCATCAACAAAAGAAACATGCCTTCCTGAACGATGTCATTTTCTTACATGGAATATTCTATTTGATTACCAAAAACCAGGACTCATTCATAGCTCTCAGCGATATCAATCAATACTTCACACACTGAAAACTCTTTTACCCGATGTTATTTTTTTACAAGAAGTTACAGTTATTTTCCTGAACCTTCTTCTAAATGAATTATGGTTACAAGAAAATAATTATTATATTGTTATTATGAGAAGTGTGATTAATAGTGAACAAAATAAATCCTATGGACAAATGATATTGACGAAAAATTTTCGACCTCGATCATTTTCGATATGTCCATTGGATACTTCGGATGAAGATAGAACTGTAGCAGCATCAACAACAACAAAGACAACCAAAGAGTTGATCATCGCCCGATTTGGTTTAAATCCTAAAATAACAATCGATCTTGTTAATCTTCACTTACATAGTGATCTTTCTCGGAATTCAAGTGAAAAGCGCTGTCAAGCATTAGAAAATCTTTTCAAAAAAATGAAAACTAATAACTATATGCTTATTGGTGATTTCAATTTCGGAGATAGTTATGTGAAAGAACAAAATATTCTTGAAAAATACGAAGATGAAGTTCATGATCTTTGGAAAATTATCTATCATCTTGACCAAGTAAGAGATTTTTACAGTATTAAACATTCTTTAATCATACCACAAATTCGCTATTAATCAACCAGTTTTTTTCTTTTAACGAAAATCTCTCTGATGAACTGAAGAGTAATTGTTAAGAGTTGTCCATTACTTTGATACGAATTTTTAAAATAAAATCCGTCGAAGAATTCAAGTTACTTACAAAAAGCATGCTGAAATTTTTCCTATTTAGAATCCTGGCTTTACATTTGATCCATCGAATAATATTTGTGCTCGTATCACATCTACTTCACAAACAAATCGTCGCTTAGATCGATATTTAGTGCATACATTAGATACTGTTTCTTATTCCATTGAACATCTGGCTATCATTGGCACTCAACCTATCCCTATCGATCCATTGAATAACGATAATTCTCAACGAATTCATCAATCTGATCATTACGCTTTACAATTAGTTATGAATTTTCGAACACGATCCATCAGTCATCGCTCGGCAGTTGCCATTTTACCAACATTGAATATGTGGCCGTTGATCGATCCTCATCGACAACAATATGATCCATCATTCGATCGATGGCCTCCACATATTAATCTACTATGGCCATTTTTCGATTTAACCGATTGTGAAGAAGATCAAGAAAATATTCTTTTACAATTGCGGCTTCTCTTATGTCAATATGAATCCTTTTCTGCTGGAATCGATCAAATCGATTCATTCATCGAAAATAAAACGATCTACATGAAATTAAATCAACAATCCGAAAATCAAGTGAAACAATTACAAGCGCAACTTGTTAAACTCTTTCCACAATGTTCGAATAATAATCGGCATACTTACAGTCCACATATGACCATTGGACAATTCGAGAATGAGGAAAAATTTAAAGAAGCGAAATCGTCACTAAGTAAGTTACATACAAGAACATCATTGATTCACCTCTTATGTTACTTTTAGTTTTAAATGAATCATTTCAATTTCCTGTTCATTATATTTATATTCTACAACGATCACTTGACAATGATACAGAACCATTTCATATTGCTTATCAATTACCCTTAGGTTCTGTGCTCCCACCAATCAATTCTAAACAATTACACTCTGTAGATGAGAAATTACAGCAATTCTTTCAAACCATGAATCTCTATGAAAGTGAACAATCTTACCAAAGAAAACAAGAGAAATTCGAGAAACTTTCATCTTGTTTCGAACAAATATTCAACAATGACACATTACACTGCTTCACTCATTCATTTCTTCCCTATGGAAGTTTTCGTATTGTAAGCTACACGAGTTCTTGAAAATAAAACATCTGTATTATCGTTATTCTAGGGAATCAATGGACAAGATGTTGATACAGTATTTATTTTAAATGAAATTAAGTGTGATAACAATCAAGCGACTAGTTTTGATGAAGCACTTCGTGAATTGAAACATGATCCAACTGGATTAAATGATCATATTGTTGATTTATTGGAGACACAAATCAATGGAACTATGAAAAATGAAATTCTTCACTATCGAAAGATTCAAGCTCTATTTCCAATAATATCAATTGTATTTCATGATCAAACAAAAGTAGAAATATTTGTGCAGATAAAAACAATCAAAGAGCAATCTAATGTGCAAACATGTCAGGACGACTTTGATGGCGAGGAATTTATACATGGGGTAAGATATGTCATCGATTATTGTAGAAAAATTCAATATCAGTATAGAAGATGTTTTGCTCCGTACTGAATCAAAAACCGCTTGTCATATAATCTTTTTATGGAATCGTATATACATGACTATGTTTTGTTTGTAGGTACACGATATTGAACGTCTACTAATATATGTTTATTCGCCGCCTATCTTTCAACATTTTCTGACATTCATTCGGGCGTGGGCTCAACAAGTCGGTCTTTATGGACAAGTATACGGCTATCTAAGTGGCTATTCATGGGCTATTTTATGTGCCTATATTTGCCATAAATTTCTGGCACCGATAAAATCTCTTTCATCAATTGAACAATTCTCTATTGAGGAATTCTTTTCATTAGTACAACAATTTTTTTCAACATTTGCACATTTCAATTGGTCAGCGGACGCTCTTCGCCTATATCCAAAATCATATAAACAAAAGACGCTTGTTGGTAGATCACTGGCACATAATCGAGGTTCAATGCGTATCATATCACCAAGTGCACCATTTAACAATACTGGACGATCAACAATCAATTCAACACGTGATCTAATTAGTGAAGGTCTTGAACGTGTTTTACAACTACTTACTACAATCAACACAATCACTTCAGAAGATAAATGGAATGCACTGAAGCAGATTCTCGAGCTATCGCATGAATTTCCTAGTGAAAAAGTAAAATCAATTCTTCGATTAACACTCTCAAGTGAAAATGGTCAAGAACTTGATGAATGGATTGGTTGGACGAAATCACGGTTGGGTCATTTTCTAAATGATTGTGAAGAAGAATGTCATTTATCTATTCAAACACAAAATTCAATCGAATATCGATCTAACAATATAGAAGGTTTCTATGCTATTGGTTTTCAGCTGGATCCCCAATCATTAAATCGAAATCGAAAGTTTTTTGATTGTTTAAAGAAGTTCCTTAATCAATTTAATTTATGTCCAAACCGAACAGATTCAATGAAAATTTCACAAGATGTAATCTCCGTCCATGATTGGAAACTTGAACGAACACAACCGAAACCGCAAAGGCTCAGAAAATAAATAAATTGCATTGTTTGCTTTCTTTTTATAAAGAAATGGATAAATATCTATTTTTCCAATGGTCAGTAATGAAATAGTTAGGAGAAGAAATTTTATTCAAAAGGTGTTCTTTCGCGAAGCAGATCGTCCTGAGAGAAATATGTAAATCCTTATGCAAAAAAATAATCCTCTCCGCATTGCGACTTTCCGATTTGATATGCGTCCTATTCATAAATTTTTCCTTAGAATTTCAAAATAAAAGCCTATTCTTTCCTCGAGAACAACAGTCTGAATTCGAATTTAGTTCTTAACAAACTATCAGGGAGACGAGCTGAGAAGTTCGTCTCATGTAATACAACGTTGATTGTGCTCTTCTTACAGGTACAAATAGGTCACTTGAACAAAAATATATAAATAAATGCATTTGAAGTCGCCTATCTAAAGCATCATTTTCAGAGTAAAAATTGATACTCGTCCAGCTGATCTAGCTATCTCAGTCAGTTCGTAATTCGAACTGATTGCTATTCTGCTTTTGAGCTCATCACAAAGACTGAACTCTACTTGGAAAGGAAAATAAGTTTGGATTTGATGAGCATTCAATGTCTGAGATGATTTTCGTAATTTATCTAAACATGAAGAACTCTTGCCTATAAAATTTATGTAACCCTTAGGTTAGTATGATTAGAAACAGATGAACTGTTTCTAGGCTAATATTTCCCATGCTACATGTCAGGACGACTTGTTATTTTGTTCATTCATCTCCTTTATCATCGTCTGGTGATAGAATACTGAAGTCTGCTATAGATGATTCACTAGAACTTGAGTTTTTATGGGTCCGCGCATATTTTAGTTTTATCGATCGAGCATGCACTAAGTCTAGTCGCCTTTTCTGATGCAACAAAGTCCTGTTGTTGAATACTCTGACTGTTTGCTTCTCTGTCAATCTTTACCTTGTCTCCATTCACATCACCCAGCAAATGATTGACTAGCAAAGTATATACAGCATTTTTCAGCTGACCAGCATTGTAATATATACTTTTACGTGTAGTATTGACACCATCCTGTTCGACGATGAGCCAGAGATCTTCAGTAGATGTTATATCCTGTATAACTTTGCCGAATATTTTCTGCACCTGCTCTAAATCGATCACATTTGGTCTCTGCGAAAGATGGAGCAATACTTTGTATGACACATATCTTGCATTCATTGACTTAGACTTGATGTATTCTTGGAGCTTAGTGATGCTATTTTCATCTTTGGCAGAATTAATACCGGATATACAACGATATCAAGTGTTCTGTAAATGAGGATCATCGAACAGTGCTTGTATAAGCATCTCGCAGAGATTAGTAGTGAGTTCGCCAAACATCGAAAGCACAGTAAGACAAGCAGCCCGGTGTATGAAGCTATTTTGTTTGCTGGTATAATAAAGTGAGCGCTGAAGGTTTTCTCCATTGACAAAGTCGTTCACGAAATTACAAAAAACTGCAGGCATTCTCTCAGCAACCGAAGCAGCGACGCTGACATAAGAGGAATAACCGTAACTGTATATGCATCGTATGCTCCAACGATAATAAATCTCATCTGTAAAGTAACGGATATGTTCATATAACTCCTGGACAAATATTGGTAACAAATCTGGATGCTCTTCAATGAGCGCAGCAGTAGATACAATACATTTAGCTGATGCATCATTTACAAAAAGATTTGCGGTTCCTGCAAGCAGCGCTTCGTAATAATGAATTTAATTCGATTGAAATACTTTCATCAAACTAGTGATATCAAGTAAACGTCCAAGGCCATGTCGTGTGGCGATCGAAATAGTCGCCGACGAGTGCTGAAGCAATTTGAGTAATGTCTCTATTTCTCCATTTTGATAAATGTCATAATTCTTATTGGATGCACTGTAGCAGTATGAGCTGATAGTACTACTCATGATCTCATCGGAATAACCATGTGAATTACTTGATAAATCCGTGATGGTAAATTTAATGATACTTAATAAAGTAGACAATGCGTTGTCGGCGTTGCTAAAACCAAGAGCATAAACGGCAGCTTGCTTGGTACTATTTGATGCATTGTTGCTATTCATTAAAACTGACAGTGCATCTACTAGTGCAGAAATATCACTGTTGCTACTAACTGCGTTCATCGGAAGCGAAACTAGTATTGTTTCTACAAATTGCTCATGAAGTTGATGCTCAGGATTTTCTTCCTGGTTGCTACTGTTTGGTCGAAATTTATTGAAATTGGATTTTATCAAGTCGCAAACGTATTCAGTAACATCTGGTGAAAAGTGAAATAAACTATTTGTGAAAGGTATATTCAACATTTTCTTATCTGAATATATCTTAAATGTTTCAAATAAAATTGACGAGAGTGCTTGGCTATCAACAGAGGTCGTCCCTGCTGTCATAACTAGAAGGCGTTACTTTTCTAAGGATAAAATTGCATCTAGGTGAGATAGCTGATCGATTCCGAGATATTCTGTTTTTCTCCGGAACATCAGTGCAGCGTACGGGGATCGGTGACACAGTGAAGAAAAATGTTCGTTTAGTTTCAACGCTATTTCGAGTGATAATTGGGTACTAGTTTGAATTTGGTTATCATCATCTAGCTTAAAAATTCTCTCCGCTCGTAGCCGAAATGTATCTTGCTCACTGAGTAGAATATCAGCCACAATATCTAAAGCCTTGGCACTCGAGAAATTTGATTGCAATAATAGTAAAGATGCATGACACGCAAAGTAATAGAGAACAGAGTGATGTTTAAAATTTAGCCACTCCTCGACGACTTTTCATGCGGTCAATTCCAATAAAGATACATCATGAAGTTCCAGAATTAACTGTTTAAGCTTACTGAAGTTCTGTTTGCTTTCTGATTGATAGGACTGAAGAATCCTATCAATTACGAGAGCTTCCTGGCAAGTGAGCATGTCACGTGTTAGTAGGTTCCTCGGGACAATAGTTTTTTCAGAGAACCGAGAGATCATCGATGGTTTAAAGTTAGAATCCAACCATTCAATGATTAAATTGGTATCACTTGTTAGTTCGACAATAAACATAGAAGATAATAACACTGATGGTATACTATCTTCTGTAGCATTGTTGGGGAGCTGGTTAGTGAACTATCGTTGAAAACAAAAATACCTTAGCTTGGAATAATTCAGTCGATACGTTGGAAGTTGAAGAACTGTTTTGCTGAATATATTGAAATAAGTGGGATCCAACAAGAGGATCAGAACGTAAGGTGTCAAAAAATGCACACTTAACGTCTAGTTGATCGAGATGATCTAATTAGTTCACTTTCGTTAAAAGATCCCTCCTGCTATCTTCGGTGACATCACTTCTTAGACAAAGTCGATAACAACGTAGTAAGATAGCTGCATGAAGGTTGCAATGCGGGTGTGTGAGTCTGGGTCTGGTTAAAGTTATTTTATACATTCACCCATGCGCTAAATCAGCAGAGTCATTATTCCAAAATTCTAGAATTCTCATAGAACTCCTAATTCATCCTTTAATAATGAAGTTTTACACCGAAAAATTATATACCGTTCACAATACTCATACTGTCGAACTTTTGCAATTCTGTCGTCATTCGGATCATTTCAAGAATAATAGAATTATTAGAATAATGCATGAGATACTTAATTCGAATTCGAATATAAATGAAGGTTCAACTACACAATATCAATTCTAAAATAAAAAATCTGGCACTCAGATAGTTACAGCAAGAAGCGAAAGATAAAATTTAATCCTATTTATAAAAAGTATAATTCGAATTGAGACTCTTATAAGTAAGGGAAAAAATCAAAAGTTTAAATTTTATCCTAATTCGAAATTTTATAATTCGAATTGAGGGATCGCTGGAGGACGTTTCAGAAAGTGCAAATTTTAAAGCGTGCTTGCTCGACTACTTAGCCAGGTCGGAACCTGCCCGCCAGGAAAACTTTGTATAATCAACAAGAAGAGTTTCGACGCTCTTCTAACACAATAATGAAACTGTTTAGTAAAGGATAACTGCTGCATAATGTCAACATGCGCTTCCATGACTGGATAGGCTTCTTTATCGCAAAGATAGCCGCTGACTGAGACGCAGAGCAACATGGGGCGCGTCTTAAGCTAAAGATTTCATGCTTGCTAGCAGCGCAAGGCCGCGCTTTGTCATACGTCAATATGATACTACAGTGAGCTGACCATCTACCACAACAGGGCTGTACGCTATTATCATACTTTCACAAATTTTACTATCCGCTCAACGAACGCCCACTCCCATTCGTCATAGCAAAAGAATTTGCTGTGATCTTTATTATTAACATGGCGAGACTTTTAGTAAAGCTCAACACATTACTTACACACACCTTTATTCAAGTGTCGTGACCAAAAAAGGTCTCAGCGTACACAACTTTCCCGACTCTGAACTTGATCTGTACGGAAACACTAGCAAAATGTCGAACACAACTAGGAGTGCGACTTCTGTCACGTTGCACACAGCTTTATTAAAGTGTCGCGACGTGGTGTCACGCAGCGTCCCCCGCAGAGTCGCGACTAAAAAAGGTACATGTGTGCACAATTAAGTCGATCCTCATCTCATTCGCTGATAGCCCTAAAGTGGAAGGTCATAATAAGTATCACATAACCACCTTTCAATAACTGCAGCGTTTTCATCCAAACCTAGAAATTATTCTGAGGATGTTAGTTTTCTTTTGTAGGAAGTGAGTACCATACTGAGGTATGCTACAAGAACTCTCCGGATTCTTATTAGCAATGGTGGAAATGCTTTTAGGAACATCCAATACGCCACTTCCATCCTCGGGACTGTTACTATTGATAGAAATCTTAGCAATGTCATAAGCAATCCAACGAATACTCAAAGTTATCTAAATAATGAAAAAAGTGCGCGTAGGCAGTTCGGCAGTATACTGATATGAGTTGCTGCAAACAGACGTGTGATTGCACTATAGTTATTCCAGATAGCTTACTCATTACCTGCGATAACAATGACGATTCGTCCTGCAACAGAGTATAGGTATAACGCCCAACTGTGGGTACCGCAAAATGATTAGTGCGTCTGAAGGGAATTTTGTACAACGATGATTGCAGTGAGAGATTTCGTAAGTGTGCGTGTGGACTCCTATTAGTTCCTCAATTCGAATTATATAATTTCAAATTAGGATAAAATTTATCTTTATCTGTTGCCTGTGTACAATAGGATTTTCGGGAGATTTCATTTATATTCGAACTCGAATTAGGCAGTTACTCATGAATAATAACTTGTACATTAAGCTCAATCAAATAGTACAGTTTCTTCAACATTGCAAGCCTACAAATTACCACAATCAACAAATCGAGTATAATGTTGTATTCTTAATAATATGAAACCCTTCAAATTTATACTTATTTTGAAATTATCATTAATCCAAACTCAATAAGTATACCTCTCTCTAACGATAAAATTTCATACTTCAGGCTAGTCTACTATTCTAAAATTTTCATTATTCCTATAATTCTAAAATTCTCATTATTCTTATAATTCTAAAATTTTCATTAGTCTTATAATTCTAAAATTCTCACTATTTTAATAATTCTAAAATTCCAATAGTTCAAAAATGTCAATAACTCTGATAATTCTCATTATTCTGATTATTCTAAAATTCCTATAATTCTAAAATTCCGATAATAGAAGAACCGTGGCAAGTATAAACTTTTTAGGTGTGAAATTTCATTATTAAAGGATGAATTAGGAATCCTATGGAAATTCTAGAATCTTGGAATACTGACGGGGCTCCAAGGTAATACCTCTTGTAGACTCACATTAAAAAATAATCATTTTGACATCGGCTGGTAAGTAGTCTAATTCGATCATCGATATTTTTACATTATCGATGTGTTTGATTTTTACAATATACCAGTGTAGATAAAAATGACAGCAAAAATGAAGATAGATAAACATGCATTTTTGTGTTTAATATGAAGATTTTGAAAAAACTCAGATAGAAAGTGTTACAGAGGCGCCGCTGTAACTTAAATCAGTTCACAAAATAGAAACTTATGCTTCTATTTAACCAATCAAACACAAATTTTCTATTTTCGATTCCTAATCTGAATCTTTTCTTTATTACACTGAAAAAACAATAAGCACCCTACGAAACTTAAAAGGGCTCCGAGATTTGCAACGAATTCGAAACCGTTTTTCTTTATCATACGGAACCTTCGAGGTTCTTCAAGGGTTTCGTAAAGTCTCACAAAACCCTTAAAGATATCGGAGACTCCGACACAGGTTTCGTGAGACTATACGGAACTTTGAAGGTTCNAGTCCACACGCACACAAGAGAGAGAGAGAGAAGAAACAAAGGAAGAAAGGGCATTTACTTCTTCAGTTAGACTATTTTGTATATAAATATGATGGTGCGTCATTCTATAAGTGCACACTTAAATTCCAGTCGAAGAAGTGATGCCATTATTTGTTGTCCTCACCCCCGGGGGGAAAGAAGACACAACAGAGAGATATGCAGAGAGAGGAAAGAAAGAATGAAAAAGAGCGATTGGCGTATGTGCATCTCGAGTTGGATTGCACATATAAGAAACACATAACGTATAAAGAGATGAAACAAGAATAAATAAATAAATAACTTGTTAGAGTACTCTCTAACACCTTCGATAGGATTTATGAAAATGCAGCGTATGCTACACCCTTTTAAAATTGTCTAGTCGCATAAACGCTATTATAAACCTTTCCGTACGCGGAACATGTGGCACAGTTGACACGAGGATTTCAGTTGAGATTGGAATGCGCGAAAAAAATAATTAATCGAAAAAAATATACTTTTCTTTTCTTTCTGCTCGTGATAATAGATTATAGAAAAACAGAATACAGAAGAAATATTTCTAAGATGAATTTAATGTCCCCATGTCCACATACTTCAAAAATACACAGAGAGTGAATTAATGATACAGATAAAAAATACAAAATTTATTTTTCTGAGATAAATTCAATGTGTCCATGTCTCCATAGTGAAAAAAATAGACAGAGTTGAATTATTTAAAAACTCATTGTAAAAAGATGTAAGGAATAATTCTCAATATAAAAATTTCTTAAGTCAGATCTCAACAAAAATTCTATTAAAAAAATTAAGAAAAAACTTCCAAGCTCAACTAAATTCCAAACTCGTCTGTCACATATTCACGTAATAAAACTTTTTATTTCGTCTTTTGATGGGTATATAAAAGGGTTTATCACAGCTGCTAAACGGTAGAAAATGGTATATCATACGTTGCGTTTTCATAAACGCTTTAAATGTTTATCATTCGGCGCTTTTTTTATCAGTGTAGGGGTGTCAATTTGCAGTTTATTTAATTTAAATTTAACTTCGCGAAAAGTTAATTTAATTTAAAATTATATTCAGTCAAGTTAAATTTAAAATAAATTCTTTCAATGGATGCACATCATTGCTATCAGGAAAATACGTGACTTTAACAGTAGTAAATACTACATGAGAGGAGAAACTAGTATTTTAGGTTAATATTTGTTCATAATAGTCAAGATTTCTCTACAGATTATGGAGGACCCGTTATCTTTCTTCTTCAAAACACTAGGATACTCATAAAACTATATTATAATAGTACAATTCATAGAAGAATGACTAGCTGTAAGTTTAGAGAACAGGAAGCATACTCAAATTTTACTTTAAATAGTATCAATCAAGACAAGAACTATGTTTATCTACTAGTTTTCAAAATTAAACTAATTTGAATTTCAAACAATTTAATTTAAATTTACTTGAATTTCAATCATACAATATTTAAAATTTCATTAAATTAAAATTTTTGAAAATTTATTTCTTGATTTAATAATTTTTTTTTAGATTTCAATGTGACACCGCTAAGCCTTAGGGTTCAGCCCAACCACCCGACAAATTCTTGTTATGCTACTAGTTTTCACGTATCAGTGTTAGCTTTGCTGTTGTGCGGTTCCAATTCATAGCTTTTGGCAGTTTTTTCCATCAACTATGGTCTTATAGACATCAGTCAAGTACTGATGATTCGTTAGAATCAGTCCAGAAAAACGAAAAGAGCATTCATTTTCACTCAGTTGCTGCAAGTATCACTTGTACCCATTCGCATATCAGCTCATTTTTTCTGAAAAAATTAGTTTCCTACAATATCGTTCGGCTTTCTAAATTCATGAAATCGCAGTCCAAAATACTTTAACGGAGTCGAAATGGGTATTTTATAAAACTTGAAGGTTTCCTAACCGGTTAGGATTTTTTAGGAAGCAGAGTTCTTTAAGAGAATATCAGCCAATACATATTTGGATTAAAATTCTTACAGTTGGAAGCTTTCTTCGGGGTTAAGAGTCTTTGTGTAATGTTTACGTGTTGATACGGACATTCTTTTCATTGACATCCACGCTCGAAAGTCGAACAAAATACTCATGATTATATTCTATATATTTTCATATAGTTCGTGTACACTGAAAAAGAATCAGTGTAGAATAAGAAGACCTCATTTTCTTTTAAGTACTGAATTGAATACTCTCTTATACGATTTATTGGTCTTACAATCTCTTGGGTATACCCTTTATCAATAGATTTAGGGCAGTACAACGTATAAATTATACTTCAAAAGTTGCATTAACCAGAAGAGCATGAAAAAGAGTTTATAAAGAGAAGACCAAAAAATGATGTGATGATAGACAGACGCAAAAATGATGTTTTCTTATGTTATGCTGATTTTTAAAGTGTACCATGCAAAACTGCGGAAGGACACAGTTCACTCAATAGGCGTAGTCTTTAACACTATTACTAGCTACTTCAACCATTCTCAGTGTTCAATATGCGCATTTTTCGTTTCAATACCACTCGAAACCGGTTGTGTTGTTGTTGTTTTTAAGCAAGTCGTTTTAATGCATCAAGGCGGGCCATTATTGAAATATTATCCTCGTACGTTCTGTGCTCTGTCAGGCATACATATGCATATATAATTATACAAAAAGCAGAAGAAAAGCGAACCATAAATATTCTATTTAGTGTTCTTACTACAACTCAACATAACCATAAAACTGAAATGAACTTGGTGATTTTCACACTCTTTTCTCTACTGTCAGCAAGCGTAGTGGACTCTTCGACGATAGCAAATTCGGTCTATCCTTGGCTGACACTACCATCAACGCCAGGACTTCCGTCACCTCAAGCTGGTCATTATGCAAGCATCAATAATATTCAAATATGGTATAACATTTAAGGCCCATCATGTGGCATACCTATTCTCTTTCTACACGGAGGTTTCGGCAATAGCGACTATTGGGGATTCCAAATTCAGGCACTGAAATCGTCATATCAATGTATTGTAATGGATTCTCGAGGACAAGGACGAAGTACATCATCATCCGCTAATATTACTTATGATTTGATGGCGGCTGATGTCATCGGTCTATTGAACTATCTTGGCATCACGCAAGCTCATATCGTTGGCTGGAGCGACGGTGCGATTATTGGTCTCAATTTGGCGATGAACTCTCCTAATAGATTAGTTTCATTGTTTGCCTTTGCAGCAAATTATAATACATCTGGTGCAAAAGACATTAGTTTGTCGTCTGTTTTCAATGCTTATTTGACACGCACTCAAATCGAATATGAACAGATGAATCCTATCAACGATTATCAGAGCCTATACAATAACTTAACAACAATGTGGTCTACTCTTCCGGATTGGAATCAAAGTGATTTTGCAAAGATTCCATCAACTATATATGCATGGATCGTGGATGGTGACCACGAAGAAGTTATCTATAGAGATCAACCAGACACAATGGCTCTTTGGATACCGCAGTCAGGTGAACTGATCCTACCAAGAACGAGTCACTTTGCTTTCCTGCAGGACCCTGACACTTACATAGCAGCTTTAGAACGATTCATGGCCCAGGCAACATCATACTATACAAACCAATTGATTACCAACAACAGCCTCTATTCATTGTTTGGCCTGTGTGGCATATATTGTCAAGCGCCATGCTGGTCGCCAAGAAGAAGTTTTTCTAGACCAATCGATCTAAATTTTTTCCGGTTTTGTTTGTATATTTTTTTCCAAAAATTATTTACGTCAATGTTTATGTGAACATAATGAACTAATTTTACAAGTACCAATGACTGTTTCTATATATGAAGGGACATGAATTACAGTATCGAGTTCTATATGGCATAGACAACATGGAACGACAGTTGACCATTGTAATTTGCTATATATTCGCTTCTACGTTGTATTATTCATATACCGTGTCGAGTAGCTGTCTAATTCAAGTTCGAATATAAATGGAGAAAAGAAAAAGTTAAACTAAAACTAAATCTATTCCTGGATTTAGTTTTAGTTTAAGTTTCCGATACATGCGACATGTGGATGCATATATACCCCTACAATCACACCCACACTCATCCATGGTACCGATCACCCCCGACCACATTTGAAGTACTCGGGTACTTCCCCCGGATCCCTTCGGGGTACCCCTCCTACTCATCCCCTCACTGGCACCACCACCCACAGGTACCCCTTATTCGCCTCAACCAACACCCACTCCATCTTAAACTAAATCTATTTCTATCACTTATTTTCCATTGATACCATGCAGCTGGGTGTCCATTTATATTCAAATTCGAACTAGGCATCTCATGAACATATCTACATCTAATGAATATGTCATCAGTGTTGATCAAAAATTAACTAATATAGAAATTTCATTCCTATCAATTTTCATGCTTAATAATGCCCGTTAAAATGAGAAAATTGTTTTTTAAAACTAAAAGTGAAAAGCAACTTTGCCACACAAAAAACTCCACAAGATGATAATATTAAACATTATGGAAGTACTTTAACGAGAATGGAGAACGAAAACTCCGTAATCTGAATTTGAGAGTTTCCTAACTATTTCGATTCTACTATCAGCATGTGTGTCGAGTAGAGGTGGATCATTTTTTTTTAACGGAACTTAATTAATGACATTAATTAATGACTTCCATTAGTCATAATATTAATGGTTAATATTTTCTGAGAAAAACTTAATTCATTAATATTAATGTTCTTCAATGATATTAAAGGTTAACGGAAACGTTCACCATTACTATGAATAGTAATGTTTTCGTTAATATTAGGGATTATATTTTTATTAATCATTAATATTAATGTTAATTTTTTCATGAAAACATTAATTTTTCCATATTAGCGAATTAGGTTTTTCTATGGAAACGTTATCTATTATGATTAATCAATTAACTGGTCTTAATAGCTAATGTTTTCTCCGAAAGTGTTAATTACTTAATATGGAAAGTTAATGCTGTCATGAAAACATTAACCATTAATATTAAGTCATTAATTTTAATGAAAATATAATCTCTGATATTAACGAAAACATTACTATCCATACTAATGGTGAATGTTTCCGTTAACCGTTAATATCGTTCAAGAACGTTGGCATTAATATTAATGATTAATGTTAATGTTTTTCATTAATCATTAATATTAATGAATTAAGTTTTTCTCAGAAAACATTAACATTAATATTAAATTAATGTTAATGGCCCACCCCTAGTGTCGAGTATGTTAGTTTGAGTTCGAACAATGAATTGTACACCAAGATTTGATAATTAGTAGCGTAGAGTGCAGCATTTTGGCTTTATTCTTAAACATTCTCATATACAATAAGCTAAACCTATCATGATTGTATAAATGTGTATCCGTCATCTCCTCACTCGTACCCACTCCCAACAGATAAGTTTTATCAAGGGGGAAAGACGCGATTTCCGTACTTCGAAGTACGAAAGTACGGAAGTCGCACTTTTTCCTCCTTGAGCTTTATGCAATCTATGTTCAATTTTAATACGGTGCAAGTTTATGCTAATTCTGAAATGACTAGTCATCCAAACGAATAATTCAAAAAAGCCTTGAATGTATTGTAAGTTTTGAGCTCTCAATTTATCATAGCGTTCTTGCTAATAGAATACATTCCACCCGAAAGAATTTTAAGAGCTTTCTTTTCGACTCCTGTGAGCACATGTCAGAAATGACAGTCTATAAACGATATGAACGGTAGCACTTAAGCTGCATTATCAATTTAGTTTTACAGCCCTCCTCCGCCGTATTTTTTATTTCACTTTTTGTTCCAAAGAATTTGGAAGTTATTGCTTAAAAAAATTCGGTTCGTCCATCCCTGTGCTGATTATGTAATCCGAATCATCATGCATAGTCCATTCCCGGTTTATTTTACTACATGCTCAATATTTATTTAAATTCCATATAAATACTACTGAACCTTGACAATCTTTTTCTTTCGCATGTCACCGTATTGAATAAAAATAATCTCTTGCGTTTTGATTAGCTCATAATGAATTGTTTTCTTTCATTCATTCTCTAACATAATTTGTTCTTGTAACTCTTATAATATAATTGGAAAAAAAGAAGAAAAAAATCCAAAGCAACAGGCATCAATGAAATAAGAATGAAAAAGAAACATTACTTTCTTTTGACGCTGTTGGCAACGTATATAAAATCACTTGCAATCACATCAAATCGAAGAACAAATGGTAAGCAAGTGATATTACTAAAAGAATTTAAAAGAATCAAACATGAATATTTTTCAAGGCTGAAGAAGAAATTCCACGCTCCGTAGATGATTTAACTCATGAGGAAGTCAATGAAAAATTACGTATGTTATTCTTATTGAAAAAATTTATTTCACTTTTTAATTGACTTCGTTTATCTTTAAAGAGCACATGAATGAATTATTTTCAAAATTTAAAGACAACTCAGAAGTTGATACTGTTCATGCTAACCGTTTATTACAAGTATTGCAAGTCTTTGGTAAAAATCCATCACAAATTGAATGTAACAAACGAGTTGAGGCACTCAAAGGAGATGGTAAACACTCACAACAGAACTTTTCTTTTGATTTAAAAGTTTTTTTTAAAGAAATATTCGAATTAACCTTGGAAGATTTCATAAAAATACTCGATGAACCATGGACATCGATTAATAATGATCGAAATATAATTCATAAAGCATTCGATAAATTCGATCATGAAAAAGACGGTTATATTGATATTGAAAAATTTCGAGAAATCATGCGTACACTTGGTGAACCATTATCCGATGAAGAAATCGATGATTTTATTCAATTAGGTGTAAATGAACAGCACAAAAAACTTGATATTGAACGTAAATTTATTTTTCATATGAATGAACAACATTTTTATTAGATTTTCTTTTAGGTTTACTCAATGAATTACTTGGAAAAGAAGAACGATAAAACATTTTATTTTATTATTAGTTCTGTAAAATAACAAAAAGAAAAAGAAAAAGAAAAAGACGCGTAATAAAAAATATAGATATAACAATATATATCTGGCATTGAACATTATTTAAACATCGTGATATAAAGGTTTAAAATCCGTCTTTGAAAAATTTGTTGTACTTGTAATTGGGCATAAATAATAAAAATCCGGTTGAAATTCATTAGTAATTATCGATGATGTCTGTGAATCATTCTCATTATGATCATCATTTGTTTCCTGCGGAATGCTACTCGATGATGATACATGAAGTCTATAGGAAGTATGAAAAATTTCTCGAAGTAATGCATTTGTTTGATCGATTATATTAGACGGTGCAGGATTTGAATGAAGTCCATTAGAAGTATTATTTGAAAGAATCGACGAAGGCGATGTTATGTCAGTTGAATCAGATGTGATTGTTGTTAGACTTGATATAGGAAACTGTAAAAAAACAATATATATATATATATAGTTTTCATATTTATTTTTCTCAAAAACCAAAACTTCTCAGCACAGCTTCTGTGTTCCTAAAGTATTGAACTAACATATATCCCTTAAAAAATATCTGCTTATGTCTCTAACCGTGAGAAAGTTTAGTTACTAAAGTGTGTAATGAAAAAATGGAAAAATAACAGTCTAATTAGCACAATTCTAAACCTTTGAAAACGAACCTGTTCATCAACTAGTAATCTACTTGGATGCATTTCACTAGAACAAGTTGATACATTTTCACTTCTTTCCTTAAATAAAAAAAATATCAAATATAGTAAATTATTTAGTTCGGTGCTGTTTTCTTACGTGTTGATTATTAAGTGTTAAATTTGGTATTTCAAGTTCGGAATACCAATCTAATTCCTCGTTGTCTCGATTAAGACTATCTCGACTTTGACTAGTTCTCGTTTGATTATCGCTTGAATCTTGTTCATTTCGTTGAAAACGATCTTCATCGAGATGACATACATTATTGACTACGTCATCATCATCATCGTCGACCCAAGCACGTAATTGTGAATCCGATGTGTAAGTTGCCAGCATATAAAACTCCATTGAAAAATCGCGTACGGAATCGAGATGATACACATTATGATAGATTTCATTATCTTTTGAACAATTCTTTTGATAGATATCAGTATCCGATAATATTCGACGAAAGAATACGACACGGCCAAGACGCGCTGGAAATATTAAACGATGTACTAAAGGTTTTGATGATGATGATGATGCAAATGATTTCGAGTTTATTGATGATAAATCAATTGATGAATCAGCATGTCCAGAATTGGAATTATCATTAGCGGAAAGAAAATATCCTTCTCGGTTATTTTCATTTTGAATGGGATCATCGAGATAGATTGTGTCCGTACATGTTTGACTACTATCAATCAATGAATGATTTCGTGTATTGTTGGAAGCTTCTAAATGTAAATATGCTTTAAAAAATAGTTGAGAAAATATCGATCTTAAATTTGAGATTTTATTAAATTCTTTAAAGGTTGTCCGTTTGACAAGGTGCTGAATTAGTTTTACCGATAAAATTAGAGGGGGGGGGGGTTTTCTATATGTATGAAAATTACTTTGCTGGAGTAATTTTTGAATATGATCGTGTTCATTAAGACTATCTTCTGAAAAGTCTCTCTTCATGACAGCAGCGATAGTAGACGATTGATTTGTATATTGATCTTTTGTTTCTACAAGTTGATTATCTTTGATTGATTCTAATGAACATGGTGTTAACGTTAAAGTTGATTCGTCGTTTTGAGATGATACATCCGGTGTTAAATGACAAGAAAATAATTTTAATTCATGACTACGAACAGGTTGCACTCGTTTAACAGTATCTTTTGAAAATAATGACTTTCGAATATTATTAGTGATCGATGAAGGTAAAACAACTGGTGATTTATTGACTAATTTTGATGTGCTTTTACGTTGTTCAGTCATTAATGCATCAAGATCCGAAACACGAGCTCGTTGTTTAACGACTGTAGTTACAGGTATTTTATTATAAATATTTGTTGTTGTTTTTGTAGTGTTAATGATTGGTCTATTAGGAATCGTTGTTGTTGTATTTCGCACTGATTCACCTGGTTTTACAGATGTAGCACGAGGACTAGGTGATTTATTAGTTGTTACCGATGCTGAAACTGTTTTTTGATTTGTCACTGTAGAAATAGGAGGACGTTGTCGAATAGTCGGTGGCGGTGGACGAGTTTTAGTCGTTGGAATCTGTAAAATGAAGCATTAAGAAGAAAGAATTATCCTATAGAGAAAATTGTTTTTCTTACGCGAGATGGCTTTGATATACATGTTGTTATCTTTGTTGGTGTACTCTTAGGAATAGATGGTGTTTGTACTGATAACCTTTCATGATTCGAATAGATCGGATTAGTCTTTTGTTGTCGACTCGCTCGAGTCTTGTTCAATGTCATTGTTAACGTTGATGATCGTTGTTTAGCAGCATGTGCACTGTGAGAATCATCCATAGGGACAATATTAACGCTCTTCGAATGACGATTATCTTGTGTCAATTTTTCATCATTTAAAACGAAATAGAGTTTATTGGTTGAACCAGCTGAGGATTTATTGAACTTCGATTTAGTAGTAGCCAGTGTTGATGAATTAGGATTTAATTCTATGAATGATGGAGAAAAAAAATATATATTTATTAATTCGCCCTTGATTATCAATATATAAAAACTTGAGAAAAGGAAAAGATTGAATATTCCATAGATAATTCATTTAGAAAGTAATTTTGTATTTTCACTTCATGTAATACTATAGTAACTTGATGAAATCTATCACATGCCTATTTGATATTAGGATAATTTTATAGTAATTATTACATCTTATTTCGAAAAGAACTTTTCTTTCTATAGAGATAATCTGTATTTGGATGGCCTTGATCAAAACGGAATTCGGATCGATTGCATATGTGATTAATGAATCATCGGAGAACGTTTATCATTAACATGTTATTCTAATATATATATGCTCCTTCCTGAGTACATTCCTAGAGGATTAAATAAAAGAAATGTGTCACAGTATAAAGCAATCTGTCTGTGATTATTCATCACAGCAGTTTTATTGTCGTGTACATTTTAATCCCGCGGAGATTGCACATATACTTTTTTTATCGAAAAAGTATGCGTGCTCCATGTTGAAATTCAACATTAGCGAAGTGCTTTTATCTCTACCACTAGAAAAAAACTAAGAATAGAAAATACTTACACATTTTTTTTTATTATTATTAATATTTCTATCACAATAGCTAAGAAAAACGTTTTAGATACACATTTGGGTGGTCTTGTTTACTTAGAAATGGCTTGAAGCATTGCAGAGAAACTGTAATTCTATTTCTTAGTTTATCTCGATTTTTTTCATCAACTGTAAAATTCATAGTCTACAGCGCGGAAACAAAAATTGATGACATATTAGAATTGAATAGAAATCGAATTTAGCTATCGAAAGTATACTAACTTTTTTTTTTTTAGTTAGACTATTGACCCGTATAGAAACTAGAATGATTCAGTTCTTAAGCTAGCATTTATTTTTGTAGAGGACAAAAAAAACAAATAATATTATCTTACTATGTCCAAACTTGTTTTCTTCATGTATATCAACTGAACTAATGAGCGCACTTATTAGTTTTTTTTTGTCTTAGATGTTGCCGTTCTGATGTCCGTCCGCATAGTTTTTTTTCTCAACGGAAAATTATAGGAATTGACTTAATACATTCTTCGCGTTTTCTTCCTTCTTCTTCTTCTTCTTCTTCTTCTTCTTCTTCTCCTCTGTTACTGCTGATGCTGTGTGCACTTTCTCTTTGCCGTTCTGTAACATCTAATTAGACATGTGTATGATAGAAAAACGGAGAAAACAAAATTACATCATAACGACTTCTTCAGGGAATAGTCGACTGCGTACCCGATGATTGATTTGTTGTTTTCTGATCTTGATCTTCAACAATCATCAATCGTTGATGAGGCCATATGGATTCATTATGATTCTTATTATTATTATTAGTAGTAGTACTAATAGTATATTGACTATCATCCTATATTGTATAAGAATACGCGAATAATAATAATAATAATAATAATAATAATAGTATTAACAATACCGATCGATTACGAACAATATGACATGATGTACAACTTGTACTCCGAGTAGATAATTGATTCTGAATAAAGATAAATGTAGCTCTTGTGGAATAGAAACTAATAATTAATTTACTTTCTGTTGATTCTTATTCGATTGAGTTGTGTCATTTGCATCATCTTGCTCGTCGTGTGTTTTTCGGAGCTCCTAAAAATTAAAATAATAGAATAAACACATCATCATGTTAACTGAACAAAAAGATTCTCTATATTCTAGTCCACCTGAGATGCTAAATCATCATAACACGGTAAAATGCATCGACCGAAAAAACTTGGTTTACGGCGTCTTTTTTGTTTGGTCATCAGTCACTTTTATTTTATCGACAGTGTTGAAAATGAAACAAATTCTTTTATTCTCTTCGTTGTAAAAAGATAGCTTCTTCTTGTAACCTTTAGTGCATCGAAGTAAAAGAATACAAAATTTCAATCTTGGTGTACACATAACAAATGTCCAATCATATGCGCTTACGCAATGGTCAATAAAAAGCTTCTAAAAAAAGGGAGTGACAGATGCGCATTGATATGAATACATGACTTCACATACGTCAATTAGACGAAAAAAGCATTGTTGATGATAAGCTCTATGAAGCTACTGTCTTTGTTTTACAGGTGAGAATAGAATAAACGTGTGAATGAAAGACATCAAATATGTTTTAACAAGAGGAGGTTTACCTTTTGATTTGAGAGCATTTTTATTATTAAATTTGTTATTGATTGAATACATTTTTCATTTTGAATTTGATATGTTTGATAAGTTTCGCGTAAATACTGATTTTCATTTTCTAACTTTTCAATACGTTGCATTAGATAAATTTGTTCGTCATTTATCCAATGTTCATACTTGAAATAACGAAAAATAAATGAAAGAATATTTTTGAAATAAAACTATTTATTTACTCGTTCTTGTAATTTATCAAAATGACTTCTTAATAAATTATTTTCATTGGATAATATCTCTAATTTACTATATACATACTTTAACTAAAGTAGAAACCATAAGAATAATTGTTATAATTTTGAAAAGAAAACTTTACTCCTACTTCACTATCAATAGATGTATACAGCTGATGAGCATTAATTTTATTGTAGCATGGAAAACGATTCTTCCATCGACGCAGCATTGAGCCTATTCTATGAAGCCAACTGATCTGGAAAGAAATATGATAAGCTATGAATTCAATAAGATCGTACGGGACCAAGCCTTTTCTTTCGTTCTTTGCGATGTACATTAAAATTTATTAGTAAATGTCAAAACGTTCTACTCTAATTAAGATTGCTAAGTTCAAAAAATATAGCTAGTCTGCGATCAAATGTGTATAAGCATGTGTATTCGAATTATTGTTAGTTGAATAAATGAAAAAAAGTTCATTCTTCCTTCCTACCTGTGCTACAGTACTCATTCGTTTTACTTCAAAGAGAGAGAGACAGCAAGAAAATGGCAAGCAGAAGCTCACAAAAATAACTGTCAAACATTTACACAAAATAATTTACAAGCCATTTAATCAAATTTCGTTTTTTCAACTCGCCAACGGCGTATTACGTCTTTATCCTTTCTACGAAAAACAGAACTCTGTCATCTGACATTATACAAAAAACAGAAAAGTATCCACTGAATATGAAAAAAGTGTATTAAATTTCATTATAAATAGACACGATGATTCGTTTGATCTTTTGTACAGGTGTATATTCATTGCATTCATTCAATTGATAAATGTCATTCAAAATTAAAGAGGTGTCTACTTGAATATCCGTTTTCTTTTTCTGCGATTACTAATGCAGTACAAACCACAGTAGTTTTGTGGATTGGCACAAGGTTTTTTTAAACTTTTTCAGGTACGAAGTACAACAGTAGTGTTTAAATATACGTAGTTAGTATTCGAGAAAGAGAAAAAAATCGCTCTTATCCATCGTCTGATTTTCAGTACAAGGTTTATCATACGGCTGCAGTCAATTCGATATATCATTCGCCAACGGTCATAAGATTATTCGAACAAACTGAAATCCTGCATGAACGATAAGAATCGATTATGCATTATACAGACAAGTAAATTGATACTAATCAATAGAACGATTCTTGCTAATCAATTTTGTTATATGTTAATGGTTTCTTTCGATTTCGTATCGGTCAATGATGGTATTATACCTCACCAATAAAATGTAATCTTCTGTTGTTTTTGTTTGAGAGAGAAATAATCAATATTCATAGCATTTACGCACTTCGGGGATCAAGTGAATACCCTTCCCTATAGGGATTCATGACACATAAAATAAACAGAAAACGTTACTGATGCTGTTTTAAAATCCCATCTCAGGTAACAAATACAATAATTAATGCTCACATAACAGAAACACGAAGCTCTTTTTCTCTCTAATATCGAAATGTAAATGAACTTACGATTGTAAGATAGAATAATGCGAAAGCATTTTGAATGAGTATCAATAGAACCATGATAATTAAGTATATTGAAATAAATTAAACTTATACACGCGTCATAATATCTAATTATCGTTTTGTATGCTGCATTTGTTTTAAAATAAAATAACCGATAAAAATCTAGAATGCCAAAGGGTAATAGTAAAGCAGCAATATTGTCAATTTCTAGAACTCAATCATCGACGAACATAAACGCAAAACGTAGGACGCGTCAGAATATTTTTTTGTTTGTTGCTTCATACAAAAAAATGACACCGCTTGTGCACGTGGTGTTCAAAAAAGAAAAAACGATCATGTCGAGGCAAGGACGATGAACAAAAACCAACTGAAGTAATGTGGTCGGGAAACAAAAGAGAGAAAAAGAAAAAGAAAAAGTCGGTTTTGTCTGCAAGTCTCACCATGGAGTAGAATAGCATAGATGTCGGTTCTTTGAGATTGTTATTGTATTTTTCTTTTACTTTTATGTTCGATGCAGTCAAGTTTTTCATTGTAGCGGTTGAATTTCTATTCCGACTAATAATTTTTCTTCCCTATCGATACTATAAAATATTCAAAGAGAACATTAAGAGATTTTTTATTTCTAACTCTGACATATTGTTTTTGATATAGCACAGCAATGGAATGACATAAAGATCAACCTTTTAGAAATATATATTTGGTTGTTACAAGAAAGACTTTCATATGGTATTAAAATAATTCGTCTAGCATAAACGTGAATAAACAGAAAAGTCAAGATTCAACTATTCGTACAGTCTTGAGAGTGTGGGTGTGTTCATCAGTGTCGTTGCTTGTCTCTACATGACTGTCCACACCCACACCCGATCCTAAAAGATACGTTAAGTTTTCTATACAACGCTTCGTTTCTTCAGAGAATTTCGTCTGTCAAATGAAATATTAAATGTCCAAATGAATTCCATTGTATTGATTGATCATCGATCACATACTTCATGTTGTTAATAAAAACAAGTGAATTTACATTTCTTTTTCTAGAAAGAAACTGCTGTTAAGCATCGATCGCGGTACAAAAACCGTATGATTCATCTTTCTTTTTCTGCTGCTCTACTGCGCTAGGAATCTACTTAATAAATCATATGCAAAACGGCAATTTTCACGCTCGAAAAGACTGTCATCAAGCCGCTTCCAATATGATTAGATTAATTTACATCCGTTTACCTGAGTCACCTGAAGATACAGGCAGCTGTTTGCAAAATGAGGAAGTAGACAGAGCATATATACCTGCTATATTTCTTCCTCAATTGGACATTATAGAAGTATGAGAAACTTTGAAAGAAATTTTGTTTTTTCAAACAATGATAGTTTTGATGAGTATCAAAAATTGACAAATATTGCTCATTGGATTTATCCTATTTGGTCAATAACATTTATGATCATTGGCACACTAAGCAACTTTGTCTCGATAATTATATTTTTTCGTTGGACAAAGCGATTCTCAATATATGTTTATTTTACTTATCTGTGTTTAGTAAATATTCTAATAATTAATGTTGATATCACATATCATTATCTTCTACCATATATAACTGATGGTCGAATGTTCTTAAAATATGTTCTTCCATTTACATGTAAATTTTTAGCATTTTTCACTTTTTTTCTACGTTATATATTCATTTGGCTTATCGTTATGATTAATATTGATCGTTGTTTATATCTAACAACAGCAAAATTAAAACTTTTGATATGCGATCCGCGTTCAGCTAATATCATCAGTTTAATTATAGTTATTTTTTCTTTTCTTGTCAATGCACACTTTTTCGTCTTTTTAAAAAATCCAATAAGAATTGAAACGTCACCAAGAAAAACATGCATATTGGATGGCTTTTATTACTATTGTGAATCAAGAAATAGACATTTTGAAAATTTCTATAAAAGTATTTGGCCTATTTATAATGTCATCATATTTGCTCTTATTCCTGTTTTTATTATATTTATTTGTTTTTTACTTATCGTTTGTAATATTTATTTATCAAGGCGAAGAATATTTGATTTTGATAGACGTCGTGATTCAATTATTTCGGCTTCAAAACAAAATGATTGTGTACGTTCAATCGGAAAAATTTTAATTTATCTCGATTTACTGTTTCCACTTACCATATTCCCAGTACTTTTCTTTCAAATTTACATTAATTATTATCCGCCGAAAACATGTTTAAATCTTGGTATTATTAATTTGATTTTGTCTATTGGCTATTCGATGAGTTTTATAAAGAATACATTTGCATTTCTTATATTTTATTTCACCGGTGGAAAATTTCGTCGTGCTTTTTCAAATTTAATTCACCATCAGAATTCTTATATTGGCAGTTCTACTCGTTAATTAGTTTATTATTTTTCTTCCGTTTTACGAAAAGACAATCTAGTTTATTCAGATTTTTGGTTATATTATTTATTCAGGCAACAAATCTAAAATAAAATTTCTTAATTCTTTTACTGTCACTAGTATAGAAAACTATTTATGAAAGACCCTCTGCAATACTATAGAAAGCACTAAGGCATAGGAAGATACGATGATACTGGAATTAGAATTTTTACGAAGTGATATACATTTCGTTGAGTTGTAATGGGCATCTATCGTTACATGAAATATACTAGAAACAAATCTTCTATGGTGTAGCACCTCTCAGTATATTACTGCTGTGATTACCTTTTTCCTCATAGAAACAACGCATCAGCTTACTTGTTCTATCGAAAACACGAAAGTAAATGATGGGCTCTTCAAAGTCGACATTGAAGTCATGGTACACTGCTGAAAATGCATCAATCGCTCAATATACAAATGGTTTAGATAAATTGTACACTGATAATTTAACACAAATGTCGACAAGATCTCTTCCTATATGATTGTATGTATCCTTGTTGATCTTCGCTCTGCATCACCTGATAGTATTTCACTTGTGATATTCAGCAAGGAAATAAGTCCTCCACAAGAATGATGATCTGCAGATATATTAGTGTCGAAGAACTGAGCATTTCTAAACTAATAAGAAACTATAACCGTTGCTATAATCATCGGTTTCTCCATTCATTGCAATAGGGGTCGTATTCTTGCGTTCAACTGGAGAGATTTCGGATCAAGAAACTTGTAAGAGTAATGCCATCTCAGAATACTAAATTATTTTTCAATTTAACCTTCGGAAGTATATCATACTTCTCTAAATTTTTCTATTCATAAAAGCAATTGATGTGTTTAGTAAATGATATTTTATGCGACATATTTTTTACGGTCGCACAGATTTATAATAAACTATAACTACATGCTTCATATGATTGGCATACTCTCAAATGAGCCAATAGCAGGTGCATGCTGCTTATTCCAACACGAGGAAGTAGACAGCGCATATATAACTACTACTTCTTCCTCTATTCGAGACCATACAAGTATGAGAAACTTTCAAAGAAATTTGTTTTTTTCAAGCAATGATAATTTTGATGAGTATCAAAAATTGACAAATATTGCTCATTGGATTTATCCTATTTGGTCAATAACATTTATAATCATTGGTACACTTGGTAACTTTTTTTCGATAATAGTATTGATTCGTAGAATGCCTTCATTATCTCGTTACGTTTATTTTACTTATCTATGCTTAGTAAATATTCTAATAATTAATGTTGATATCACATATCATTATCTTCTACCATATATAACTGATGGCCGAATGTTCTTACAATATGTTCTTCCATTTACATGTAAATTTTTAGTATTTTTCACTTTTTTTCTACGTTATATATTCATTTGGCTTATCGTTATGATTAATATTGATCGTTGTTTATATCTAACAACAGCAAAATTAAAACTTTTGATATGCGATCCGCGTTCAGCTAATATCATCAGTTTAATTATAGTTATTTTTTCTTTTCTTGTCAATGCACACTTTTTCGTCTTTTTAAAAAATCCAATAAGAATTGAAACGTCACCAAGAAAAACATGCATATTGGATGGCTTTTATTACTATTGTGAATCAAGAAATAGACATTTTGAAAATTTCTATAAAAGTATTTGGCCTATTTATAATGTCATCATATTTGCTCTTNCCGCGTTCAGCTAATATCATCAGTTTAATTATAGTTATTTTTTCTTTTCTTGTCAATGCACACTTTTTCGTCTTTTTAAAAAATCCAATAAGAATTGAAACGTCACCAAGAAAAACATGCATATTGGATGGCTTTTATTACTATTGTGAATCAAGAAATAGACATTTTGAAAATTTCTATAAAAGTATTTGGCCTATTTATAATGTCATCATATTTGCTCTTGTTCCTGTTTTTATTATATTTATTTGTTTTTTACTTATCATTCGTAATATTTATCTATTGAGACAACGCAATACTAATGATCGTTCACATTCAATAGGCAAAACTTTAATTTGTCTCGATTTACTGTTTCCACTTACCATATTCCCAGTACTTTTCTTTCAAATTTACATTAATTATTATCCGCCGAAAACATGTCTAAATCTTGGTATTATTAATTTGATTCTGTCTATTGGCTATTCGATGAGTTTTATAAAGAATACATTTGCATTTCTTATATTTTATTTCACCGGTGGTAAATTTCGTCGTGGTTGTTCATCGTTTATATACTGTAAGAATAAATTTGCTGTTTGTTCGACGCGTTAATTATTTTTTTCGTCTTGTTCTGTTTCACAATAAACATTATATTGCTGCTTTAATGAAATTCGATTCTATCAGTTGTTAAGCCTTGAAGATTTCAGAATTCAACCAATGATTAGAAAGAATTAAAGAATACCGAATCACGAAATCCTATCACTTCCTAGAACATGCCCACATTACATACACCTCACAGATTTATTTGAGGGAAATAGAAAATAGCCCAAATAATAAGATGATCACTTCCAAATTTTTTCAACGCATCTTCAAGTGATCGATCAGTATCATTCCATCCCTTTCCACATTGAATTAATTGAACTTTTTTCGAATCATAACAAATATAATCGATAGAAGAATTTGTTCGATTCCAAAATGGATCAAAATAACAAGTTGGAATAATCTTCTCGTCTTGAAAAACATTTTTATATTCGTCCCATTGAAATTGATTATAAATTTTATAATCAGCATTGAAATCACCAACAATAATCGATGGAGATTTAGAATAATCTCCGAGTAATTGATAAAATTTATCATGAACCATTTTTGATTGTGCTACTGAATGCGTAAAATCTAAATGTAGATTAACCAGTGAAATATTCTTTGATGGTATATGAACAATTTGAATTGCTTCACCACGTTCACAATCGAGAATTCCATTGATTATTTTCACTTCTGTAAAATATTTCCAATCTTGATGAATTAAAGTCAATAGTCCATTGGGAATTGATGCAGCAGTTGGATTATTTGGAGAAAATGCATACAGATAATTTCCACCAAGTTTCTCTTTGAATAGATGAATCGTATCTTCTTGTGCTTCTTGAATCATTATAACATGACAATTCAATGAAGAAATATGAGAGACAATTTTATTGATTCTTGCTTGATAATCCGCAGCTAAATGATAAAGAGTTGGATACCATTCTTTATTAACCCAGCAAGGAGCTAAAATATTCCAACTTATTAAGGATAAATCATTATTTTCGTCTTTGTTCATCATTTATATTCTAAAAGAGAAATTTGCATTTATTTCTACTTTTCTAATTAGTGAAATTAATCATTTTCAAAAAGTAAAAACATGCCTATCTTCACTTGGAAATCTTTTCTTTTTTAGTTGTTCGATTTAAAATTCATCATTGACTGCACAGCACAGCACGATACAACAATGACAGCGAATGACAAATTTTTAGTCAAAAATACGGCGTTTTGTAACGGTATGTTATTCGTCAGTTTCGTGATAAATATTGTCAAACTCTACCTGTTTATAATTTACATACAATTTTTTTCCATTGCAAGAAAATGAGATCGAATCTCTGTAAGCCGCAAAAGAGGACGTTCGAAACAAGAACATGCACATATGCATACATTGATATTTCAAGATAAAATGAATATGTGAAAAACATTCTTCCTCTCTTTCGACATTCATATGACATGAATATAACTATGGAAACAATATTCATTTTATGGGAGATATTTTTATGACAATTTCATCATCTGTTCAATCAGCAGTGTCGAAGGACTGAGAAATCGAAATTCCTAATCTGCTGAAGAATTGTCAGTGCCGCTGTGATAATTCCTAGATGAAATGGGTATCAACCATTGGTTCCCTCTCAGTTCCGCCATTCACGAAAGTAGTAATATTACTTTTTTAAAAAATAACTTGTACGCAGCAATATTGATGCTCACGATTTTGCAGGCAAAAATAAATGTAAGCACAAAAATTATCATGAATATTCCATGTTTTTACCTTTAGTATACAAGGAACTGGGAAGAAATTCCTTATCCTCAGTCCTTGAACAACCCTCGCTCTCTTATATCTTTAGCCTAACAGATGCTGAAAATAGTGTTTACTTCACAAATGTTCAATCTATACATTCAATCGTTGGAAAAATACTTCATCGAGGGTGTAGGTGTGATTCTTCTCTTCCCCTTCATCCACAGAATTACACCTTCACACCAATACCCTCACGATATTCAACATCTTCAAAAACAACAATGTGATGCAGAAAAGATGGTAGCTAATTTATACAAATTAAAACGTAAAAGAATTTATTATACTTTCCAAAATAAAATTCAGTTTTATTTAGTGTTCTTCGACTTAGGTCGAGCATCGGAGGATGACTGCGTTCTTCACGTGGAATATGATGGAGCAAAGCAAAGAAAATTATTCTTCATATCAAGAATTAATATCACATGATTCAGTTACAGAAATTTCATTATTTGATTTTTCAAGTTATTCAATCGATATTTATGTCATTGATAAGTTATTGATCAAAATCCCAGGCCAAAGAATCTGATTGCAATATCTTGTACGATCTTATTAGATCTTATAGGGACTTACTGTATGATCTTAAAAGATCATATAAAATCGTATGAAAATTTCATGTCAGACGTAATTTTACACACTAAAATACAGCGATAAACAAAATGTACGGACAAAACTAAACAGACGTAATTTTTAAAATTATGAAATATTTCACACAAACCAAATATTTTACTTTAATGAATAAAAACTTTTGCTGTTGAAGTTACGTACAGAGACGGTAGAGCTCATCGTGTACCACACGGATCCGGACAAGTACGGACCGGGTTCGAATCGGAAGATCTTTACTAGTCAGTGCCAAATTCAAAAACATTTCTAATTTATATCAGAAACTTAAAAAATTTCTTTAAATTCTTGTTCTTCCTACTCCAAAACATTACATTTATTTTAAAAAAATAGAAAAATCAATAACGTACAAATTTCGTTCAAGTCTGAGCCGAAAATATTTTAACGCTAAGATTTGGGTTCAAAATTTCTCTCGAACAACTGCGGGTATAGAAACTTTTAATTCAACTGATTCAGGTCAAATATATGTCTAAAAGATTTTAATTGGTCGGGTTTGGTTCTAGAAACTCTTGAATCAAGGGATCTTGAATGAGAGTGTAAGCACTGAGGAGCTTATCAGATCATATAAGATCTTACAAGGTACAGATATTCAGATAATGTAAGAATCTTACAGTAAGGTATTTGTAAGATTTCATAAGATCTTACTATAAGAATCTTACGATTTCAGATGGTATGCAAGATCTTGTAAGATCTTATACGATTTTCGTACGATTTTTTCACATGGGAAGTTAGCTGATACATCCATGCCAATTTTACTAATAGACTATGAATAATGTGATACGACATGCGAAAATTTTAGATGAAATTACTTCGTAAAATTATATTTATTTTGCTATATAAAAAGGTACGCGTTATAAAACATAATGGTTCAAATTTCATACGATTCAAGTCTATCGAAGCAGAACGTCGAGCCTTCAACTTTCAGAAATAATCATTATGCCTACATTAAATAATTATTGAAGTCATCATTATTGAATCTGCATGTTGAAGAACGATGAATTCAATGAAGCATAGAAATATATGCTACGAATTTAAGTAGTTTCAGTGTTCACCTTATCAGGCATCACAATTAGTCTGATTCTACAGCTTGACATTTGAGATTGTGGAAAAAAATGTTCAGAGAGACTTTTTGCTTCTTATTCAAGCATGAAGCATTTTCTGAAAGTTAAAAATTTATTCTGTTGAACAAAAAAATAGGGTATGGCTACTCTGTTTCTCTGATACAAAAATCTAAACTAGCAAAAAGCATATACTAGTTATAGTTATGACATCTATATCAACGTTATCAGTATATAGATGGAAAATCCCGAATCATGTAAAATCAACGAATCCAGAAATGAACTTGATCCCAACAGCTATTACTACGATAATCAACGTCCAAGCTATCCATCCGATCGCTTTAATTGCAAAAATACGTCTTGTCATGTGCTTTGCATCGTTTACATTCGGAAACGGAATGTCTTTTGGAATTGGCACATCCAAAAATTGACATAACGGTTTCCATCCTTCTTTGACATTGAATATGAGTAGCTCTTTTTTAAATTCTTTGATTACTTGAGCATTGTGTAAGCCATGAATTTTAGGGCCCGCTTCGCCATAGTCGTGAATCCACTTTTTAATTAACTTTCTAGTAAAAATGCATTGCAAACGCCAATTTCGCATCGGATAAACAGCAATGAAATAAAAAATATCAGTGAAAACAGGACCGATAGTATTTTTGAAAATTTCGTACCACTTTTCATCGCTGTCACGTACCGTAAGTATGAATTTAGCTTTAGGAAATGCTTGATGGAGTTCTTTGTAAAATATGGCTGTTGGAATATCTACGGCTGATCCGTATCCTTTCATTAATTCATGCCAATCAGTTTCGCGTCCATCAAGTGCCTGTGTAAATATTATACTCTATCGAGGCTTTGAAAGTAATTCGCCCATATTATGGCATGGACCAAAGCCAAGTTGTTCAAGAGCAATCTTGAGCGATAAAGTACCTGTTCGTCCCAATCCAGCACCGATCACACGTAACTGTTCTGCATTGTCTGAATCAAACTTTTGAATCTGAAACTGACGGTTTTCAAGTGTGTTATCAGCCATGATTAGAACTCTGAAAAGGGGATTGTAGAAGATCTGAAGAATTTTTGAAGAAAAAATTGAATAAATTACTAGTGACTTTCAGTACATCATGCGATTGTATACAAGAAAAAATAAAAGCAAAAATGAGTAAATAACTGTTTAAGCATACTGTGTGTAATGATGCACATATTTTTTTTATTTACTATCTATCTTGTGTCTGTCCAATTACATTCTACATGAATATTTTTCTAATAACGCTAACACATTTTTCTTTTCATTCTTCAAGTATACAGAACACGTCGAGAAAATTATACGCACTGCTGTTTTTTTTCTCAAAATTAGCTAAGGCACATGAGGTTACATCACTGTTATTTATATGACTAATCGATTTCATTGAAAGTACTCGTATCATATCATGTAGTATGATCATGATAAAATCGAGAAGTTACATGGCGCGCGAGGATTTTTGTGAAACACGATCTGATAGGAGTGTTGAAGTATATAGGGTAGAAATTTGGGCCCCTCCCCACAGACCGTGACAGAGAAATTAATTAATTAGTAAGCTGGTTAATTAATTAATTTCTCTGTAATGGTCTGTGATGGTCTCTAGAGACTCCATACACCATAATACATACCGTGACAGAGAAGCTCCACAGACCATCACAGACCGTGGTAGACGGATTCCAGAAAAGGAGCTTTATCGTGCTTCACATTTTAATCCCACAGTGGTTGCGCTAACAGCTATTTTTTTCCGTATGAAGTGTGAATGCTAGATAGGACATGAATCTTTAGACATTCGTAATTTTTCTGTTCACTCGTTCCCGACACTAGTAATAGATAGGAGCTGAACACGCATTCTCAAGATGAGAAAATGTCGGTTATTTCGCTGTTTTATATGAGTAGCACGATGTGTTAGTAGATAAAAAAACGGTAACAAGAAGCATGCTTTGATGATTGCAGCATAGTAGAGTAATCATTGATAAATACCTCACTATGGATTAAACTGGTCTAGTCAAATGCTGATTCATGAGGGTTTAGAGACAAGCAAACATCCAAATATCAATTCAATAACTTATAATGGTTTGAAATACTTGGAATTAAAATTGCTACACTTTCAGTTGATGATAGTTTCGTTTCTTTGCTGCACAAGTTTCTCAATTCATCAATGTAAAATGATAAAATTGAAGATTTAAATCATCTCATGTAGAAGTGATGCTTAGTCGAAGTCAATGATTCTACCATAGACAAAGAGGGTTTATGTTTGTACGGTTTGTTTTATAGTGATCAAGTTCTTCTATAGATATTTTCTATTACTAGCAAGTGGTAGAAAAACAACGTCACCTTCGTGCCACCTTCGTAATGTTTTGATTTTTTTGCTATTTCTTTACCGTGCACGCTTTATTACATTCTTCTTCTCCAGATTTTCTCTCGGTTTTTTATGCAATTCTTTATTTGAGTCGTTTGTTGTCGAACGCATTCAAACATCAATCGTGAAGATGGAAATTTAGTTAGATTGAGAGATATAGATCTTGGATATATGAGGACATATCATGTTTAAAAGCTGCATAGTGAGAGCAGTTATTTTCATACTTTTCCTTCAATACCGCTTGATAAACTGCGGTGACTGTAATATATATATATATATATAGAGATAATGTCTATTAGCATTTTTGTTTGGAACGAGTGCTGAATATCTCACCCGTGTATTGTACTGCTGATTTTTCTTCTGAGGCGAATTCAGTAAAAGCTTTTTCATGTTTGCTGTTTTTTCGAAGAAAAACCGTAAAAGTAAAAACAACTTCGACAACAAGATTGACAAGAAAAGAGAATGATGTGGAGCAACATTTACTTTCGTCTTTAAAATATTATTATTGTTTTTACATTGGTAAGGTTTCGCAAGACTTTATTATTCCTGTCGAAGCTAACTTTCGTGTTACAGCTTGAAGATGCAAGTAACATAATAGATATCCAGATATATCGTATTATCATCTTCGTAGATAAATAAAACGGAAACAATGTCATGATAATAACGCATCGTTCACTGCTCCAGAATGCATATGTCAACAAAATAAAAGTCTACTACGATCACTGTGAATAGCTTAATTCATGCGTGTTCAAATGACCATAGCTAATTTTTTGTGGGAGGGAAAAAAACTAATTCATCAATTTGTTTTCTGTAATTTTTCACTTATAAATTGAATATCATTGAATCTATGGGGTCATCTTCAGCAGCTGGGGTTTCGAAAGGACAACGATTATCTGGCAAACCTAATAATCGTTTTTCTTGTCAAAATATGGATACTGAATGGACTTTGACTGATCCAGATGGTATTAACTATGTCGTCAGTCAACTTCTTTTTAATGCAGCCAGTTGGTCGGAAATGAATCAAAGTATTAGTAAATTACAGCGTGAGCTCAGTAATTACTCGAATACATCACCTGTGTATCCATTGCTTCAACAAGCTCTTCGGGCAAAGGATGTTACGCCTCTCTTGCGCGCGTATACCATAGAATGTGACTTCTATAAAGTTCTTAACAAAAAACTAGCTGAACGTGTCACTGCATCGACTATGGGTAATCCTATAAGCTCAATATTGAATCTATTTCTTTCCAATGCAACTAATGATACGCCGAGTAATGATTGGCCCATGTATTTTGTTGGTTCGATATTTGATGATATATTTTCGAAAAAACATCCAAGATATCAATTTCACGGTAAAACATATCGTGGTGCACGTATCAGTCAAAGTGAACTTGATAGGTATGTTGTCGGAAGATTGATATTCAATAAACGCCTTTACGTCAACATCTAAACAGCTCGATGTTGCTAAGCGATTTATCTATCCACCCGCAAATCAAAAACCTGACAAGTAACTAGCGGCCATCTTTTCTTTTCGTTTTAACGATAAAGACTTCAATTTTACAATCGATTTGGAGGGCATTTCTGAGTTTCCCGACGAAGAAGAAGTTCTCGTCATGCCTGGAATCCCGTTTAGAATTACAAAAGTTCAACGAGGAAATCCAATTGAAATTGAAC